AATACGATGCACTAAAAACACAGGTCAAATACGATGCACTAAAAAACAGGTCAAATATGATGTACTAAAAACAGGTCAAATTCGATGCACTAAAACACAGGCCAAATACGATGCACTAAAACACAGGCCAAATACGATGCACTAAAACACAGGTCAAATACGATGCACTAAAACACAGGTCAAATACGATGCACTAAAACACAGGCCAAATACGATGCATTAAAACACAGGCCAAATATTATGCACTAAAACACAGGTCAAATACGATGCACTAAAACACAGTTCAAATACGATGCACTAAAACACAGGTCAAATATGATGCACTAAAACACAGATCAAATACGATGCACTAAAACACAGGTCAAATACGATGCACTAAAACACAGGTCAAATACGATGCCCTAAAACACAGGTCAAATACGATGCACTAAAACACAGGTCAAATACGATGCCCTAAAACACAGGTCAAATACGATGCACTAAAACACAGGCCAAATACGATGCACTAAAACACAGGTCAAATACGATGCACTAAAACACAGGTCAAATACGATGCACTAAAACACAGGTCAAATACGATGCACTAAAACACAGGTCAAATACGATGCACTAAAACAGGCCAAATACGATGCATTAAAACACAGGCCAAATATTATGCACTAAAACACAGGTCAAATACGATGCACTAAAACACAGGTCAAATACGATGCACTAAAACACAGGTCAAATATGATGCACTAAAACACAGATCAAATACGATGCACTAAAACACAGGTCAAATACGATGCACTAAAACACAGGTCAAATACGATGCACTAAAACACAGGTCAAATACGATGCACTAAAACACAGGTCAAATACAATGCACTAAAACACAGGCCAAATACGATGCACTAAAACACAGGCCAAATACGATGCACTAAAACACAGGTCAAATACGATGCACTAAAACACAAGTCAAAACGATGCACTTAAACACAGGCCAAATACGATGCATTAAAACACAGGCCAAATATTATGCACTAAAACACAGGTCAAATACGATGCACTAAAACACAGGCCAAATACGATGCACTAAAACACAGGTCAAATAAGATGCACTAAAACACAGATCAAATACGATGCACTAAAACACAGGTCAAATACGATGCACTAAAACACAGGTCAAATACGATGCCCTAAAACACAGGTCAAATACGATGCACTAAAACACAGGTCAAATACGATGCACTAAAACACAGGCCAAATACGATGCATTAAAACACAGGCCAAATATTATGCACTAAAACACAGGTCAAATACGATGCACTAAAACACAGGTCAAATACGATGAACTAAAACACAGGTCAAAAACGATGCACTAAAACACAGGTCAAATACAGAGCTTGAGAAACAGAGTCCATTCTGAATGTAATCTCACTCTGACCGCAGCAGGTTCAGTGAGGTGCACAGGAAATGGCGAACTGTGATTGGCTGATGCAAGTGGGGTGACTTGTAGGTACCACTGATGAGGAAATAAGGCGTGTTGGTCAAGTACAACAAACTACCAGTTCAGGGTTGCTGAAGGCATTTTTGACCTCATGGCCTGTTTGAACTGTCACCTCATGGCGTCTTTTAATTGTCACCTCATGGACTCTTTGAACTGTCACCTCATGGCCTGTTTGAACTGTCATCTAATGGCCTGTTTGAACTGTCACCTCATGGCCTCTTTGAACTGTCACCTCATGGCCTCTTTGAACTTTCACCGCATTGACTCTTTGAACTGTCACCTCATGGCCTCTTTGAACTTTCACCGCATTGACTCTTTGAACTGTCACCTCATGACCTTTGCCCTCATGGCCTCTTTGACCTCTGCCCTCATGGCCCCTTTGACCTCTGCCCTCATGGCCTGTTTGAACTGTCACCTCATGGCCTGTTTGACCTCTGACCTCGTGGCCTGTTTGACCTCTGACCTCATGGTCTGTTTGAACTGTCACCTCATGGCCTGTTTGAACTGTCACCCTCATGGCCTGTTTGAACTGTCACCTCATGATGGCCTGTTTGAACTGTCACCTCATGGCCTGTTTGAACTGTCACCTCATGGCCTGTTTGAACTGTCACCCTCATGGCCTGTTTGAACTGTCACCTCATGGCCTGTTTGAACTGTCACCCTCATGGCCTGTTTGAACTGTCACCTCATGGCCTGTTTGAACTGTCACCTCATGGTTTAATCTCTCAAATCACCTACACATACATACCCAACAAGACATGCCACCAGAGGTCTATTCACAGTCCCCAAATCCAGAACAGACTACGGGAGGCGCACAGTACTACATAGAGCCATGACTACATGGAACTCTATTCCACATCAGGTAACTGATGCAAGCAGTAAAATCAGATTTAAAAAACAGATAAAAAATACACTTTATGGAATAACGCAGACCGTAAAGAGACACACACCGGCATACGCACACACGCTAACACACTCACTCTACACACATGTACATTGTAATGTGGTAATATTTGTAGATGTGTAGTGGTAGAGTAGTGGTGTAATAATGTGTTGCATTGTAGATATGTTGTGGTAGAGTAGTGTGTAATAATGTGTTGTATGATGTACTGTTTTATTAATTGCCTTAATCTTGTTTGGACCCCAGGAAGAGTAGCTGCTGCTTTGGCAGAAACTAATGGGGATCCATAATAAACCCCAGGAAGAGTCCCTGCTGCCTTGGCAGGAACTAATGGGGATCCATAATAAACCCCAGGAAGAGTAGCTGCTGCTTTGGCAGGAACTAATGGGGATCCATAATAAACCCCAGGAAGAGTAGCTGCTACTTTGGCAGGAACTAATGGGGATCCATAATAAACCCCAGGAAGAGTAGCTGCTGCCTTGGGAGATACTAATGGGGATCCATAATAAACCCCAGGAAGAGTAGCTGATGCCTTGGGAGGAACTAATGGGGATCCATAATAAATACAAATACACTCATAAGATCTCTCTCTCTCTCACACACACACACACACACACACACAAACACACACACACAGATATATGCACTTCAATGTCCCTCGCCTGTGCTGTTCTTCCCTCAGGTGTTCAGTGAGTGGTGCCGGACCCACTACACTCTAGACGATTCTGTGCTTTCAACTTTGTGGAAACAGTTTGGGATTATGGTATGGGCAGGCATAAGCTACGGACAACGAACACAACTGCATTTTATGGATGACAATTTGAATGCACAGAAATACCGTGACGAGATCCTGAGGCCCATTGTCGTGCCATTCATCCGCCGCCACCACCTCATGTTTCAGCATGATAATGCGCGGCCCCATGTCGCAAGGATCTGTACACAATTCCTGGATGCTGAAAATGTCCCATTTCATCGATGGCCTGCATAATCACCAGACATGTCACCCATTGAGCACTTTTGGGATATTCTGGATCAACGTGTACGACAGCGTGTTCCAATTCCTGCCAATATCCAGCAACTTCACACAGCCATTGAAGAGGAGAGGGACAACATTCCACAGGCCACAATCAACAGCCTGTACAACTCTACGCGAAGGAGATGTGCTGCGCTGCATGAGGCAAATGGTGGTCACACCAGATACTGACTGGTTTTCTGATCCATGGCCCTACAGGTATCTGTGACCAACATATGCATATCTGTATTCCCAGTCATGTGAAATTCATAGATTATGGCCTAATGATTTTATTTAAATTGACTGATTTCCTCATATGAATTGTAACTCAGTAAAATTGTTGAAATTGTTGCTTGTTGTGTTTCTATTTTTGTTCAGTATAGATGCGAATCTGGACTGGTAAAACACTGATCTCACTAGAGGAGAGGATGGGCAGAGGAGCATTATACCCAGGGGCGCAACTTTCACTGGGGACATGTCTGGGGACAATATTGCATTTTTGTCCCCCCCAGTTTTATCATTGGAATGTGATACAAAACTAGGCAACGGTGTGCTTTAGGACCATGTGGACGCCTCCGAGCGGTCGGGTAGGCTGTTTGGAGTGTTTATCCGACTGGATTAAAAAATATATAATAATCCCCCCCACTTCTAAATCCAAAATTGCACCCCTGATTATACCTGAAGCACTTCAACACTGTCTTACCTCATCCTGATATACCCAACCAGTTGTAGAGTATTCCTTTGTGTTGAAAGTGTTTTCTTTCCCCACCACTCATCCCAGGTTATCTGAACATATTGAACATCTACAGTTTATCTGTGATCTCTGACCCTCTTAACACACTGTTCTCAGTCAATCACACCCAACTATTATTGGACTGACTAGATTGCTTCAGCTCTGTCAATAGACAGCTACTGGTCTGGTACCAATGCCGCATTCAAGAAAACTGGGAACTTGGAAATCTCAAGGCAACTGGGGGAAAAAATAGCTCAGACTGGGAAAAATAGTTTTGAACGGTCATCCAAGTTGGAATTCCAAGTCGGAAATTCAGGCATCATCCTAGAGCTCCGACTTCTCCGACCTGAAGATCACTAACGTCACGATTTAACCTAGTTTTTTTCCCCAGTTCCCAGTTTTCTTGAAAGCACCAAAAACATCAGAGTCAGAGCCCAGATCTAAACCTTCTCCCAGAAGTGTGTACTGTAGATAGATCCCTTCTAACCCTTTTCCCTGAAGTGTGTACTGTAGATAGATCCCTTCTAACCCTTCTCCCTGAAGTGTGTACTGTAGATAGATCCCTTCTAACCCTTCTCCCTGAAGTGTGTACTGTAGATAGATCCCTTCTAGCCCTTCTCCCTGATGTAGGACCAGGGAACTACAGCTACCTCTCCTCTGGTACTGACCCTAATCAAGAGGTTACACTCCAGTAAACAGGCTGGAGTTACCTGTCATCTGAGGGCGATGGGTTGATCTAGGTTTTAAATTGTGTTCAAAGGCCATCGATAATGGACAAGGACTTCATCTTTGTACCAATTTATTATGATTTATTAACCATGTGGAAAAATAGTATATTGTCTTTAATTGAGCAGGCAAATACACATTCATGTTTGGAGCTCATTTATTATTTCAATTTCCCTTCCCTTTATACATAAAAAATGTTTCCTATCAGCTACATATTATAAAATCCTTATTAAGAAACACACTGAAAACCGATAATGAAAACGCTACCAGGGCTGTAGAATGACCACAGATCTATTATGTGTAGGGAAAGGAGGCTGTGGTGGATTGGGTAGTGTAGGCACTGGGGTTCAGCTCGGACTGCGGCTGGGTCACAGGGGTCATCAGAAGTACTTGATTGGGTCAAAGGTCAGGGTTCATTCGAAGTACTCGATGGGGTCGCTGTGGGCTTTGGACTCCTGCAGCCTGGTCAGCTCCAGTTTGCTTCCGTAGTGTGGGAGCATTCTATACACGCGCAGGTGGACATAGTCTTCACCACCAACATGAACCTGTAAGACACAGAGAGAGGAGGTCAGAGTGAGGCAGTTGGACACAGTGGAAAGAACAGACAACAGGTCAGGGGTTATGGTTAGAGGTCTCTCTAACAACTGACAAGTTACATCCATCCGTGTTTCATGGAACATGTGAAATGGAATCCTGTATCAATGCACTGAAATGCAGTCAGTGTCCACTGGACTGTTGGTTTACAGTGTAACAACATAGGCTACTGAAAGTGTACTAGCAAATAAACTCTATAAACCGTCCTCTTTAGTTACACATTACAGTGCCCTTACTACTGTGTAATTATTCCTGTAATTAAAGTGTAACAAGTATTATAATTACCTATTACTACACTATTTACCCTGTACTAGGGTTACTTAGGGCTAAGGGTGAGGAAGAATGAGTAAATACAATACTTGTTACACTATAATTACATACCACAGTAATAAGGGGACAGTAATGTGAAGTGTTATGTAGGAAGAAATATTCAAGCTGATACCTTGATGAAGAAGTTGGTCCCTGCCACCAACTGAGTCTTGTAAGTCTTCGCTGTGAAAACGTCAAAATTCCTCCCCGTTTTCTGCTCTGCATGCGGCTTCATCTGTGGGTAACAACATGGTTATCTTTTAGTAGCTAGCTACAATTTTAATAGGCTACATTTGGTGGCGAATGGCGATAATCAAGTTCATTACTCCACTTACACAGACACGGTCCCCTTTCCTCTCTCACCTCATCACAAATATTTTGCACCTCTTCAGTGGCATCCTTTGGCCCAGTGGTTCCTCCACACAGTGGCATCTTTACCATCAGACTGACCAACCGACCGAACGAGCACCGTCACTGAAACTATTGCACTTAAATACCAAAGACGACATTCGCCCACTTTAACACCACAGATAGAACAAGGAGGCAGATATTTAACCGGATGTAACAAATCTGAAGCATCCGGTTGGAATTTCCACTCCCCACCAAATAGGGAGAGGCTACACGGACCACTGAGGTATACTAAGAACATGCCGACACGCCTGGTGCCCAAATGGATAATTGGAGAGAGATGCTATGCTACTGGCCTCATGTCATGAATATGTATAGCCATTTCGATACAATTCCGATATTAAATTGTTTTTTCTCAAAGTTGCCGGGATGTTACGTCTCCTACTTAAATCAGTACACTCTTAACAACTTAAGCATTATGAAACGTTTATTCGATCAAATAAACCTCACGTAGCGAATAATCCATACATTTGTTGTTGTTGACCAAATTTGACACTCATTGACCTCCATATAAAAACTCATTGCTTGATGGGCGAAACAAACGCCAAGCAGATGCTTCATATTTATACATCCGGTGAAATATCTGTGCGGGTTGCAACCCAGTCTACCATTAACTATGTAGTATGTGTACAAATAAGCACAATGTTTTTATGTACTAATAGCACAAACTCATGGTGCATCAAACTCAATAACAAGAGACCTCTGATGAAACGCCCCTTCTGAATGCCTTTAAACTCGATGCGCCCTGAGTTTGTGCTATTAGTATAAATACTGTTTATTTGGATGCAGCTAGAGGTAAATTATCGGACAAGAAATTACAAATAATCTAGTATTTCGGCCGGCATAATTCTAAACTCTTATTTTATTTCAACCAGATACGTATATTGGTTCATTTTATAGACAGGAAGTGGTATTTTTTCGCTCTGGCCAACAGTATTTTGAATGCTAACGGTAGCAACCCCAGTGAAAATTGGGCCTTTTTATCTAGCTGCTTGCCGTTATTAGTTATATAAAAGGACAATCAAAAATATCAATCGTGTAAGCACATGGAAATACTTTTTAGCGAATTATTGGGCTTTTTATTTCATGACTTAAAAGTGTCTGGCTGTGAGTGACGACTGTGAAACTCCATTTCCCATGATTCTGTAGTACCGGAACTGACGTTTCATTATTTGTACAGGAACTGACCTATGTTCGTTCTTATTATACCTGTGGTTGTGTTGAAGACGGCACCCGAATTAAAATAAACAATTACTCTGCATATAATACATAATAAACAGAAAGAATGTAGCTGTAAGTGATATTTCTCCACATGTCCCCAGTATATTTTTAGGGCAATTTAATTGGGGGTACATACCACAATGTTGTTGTGTTGTAATTTTAATCACAGACAGATTCCCATTCTATGTTTGATTTTAATAAATCCTTTAGAATCAGAAGGAGCGAGCTGCAAAGAGACAGTCACCTGCTCCTGTCCAATGGATAGAGAGGGACAACAGAGGCAACATAATTGTGGTCTTCTGTAGCTCAATTGGTAGAGCATGGCGCTTGTAATGCCAGGGTAGTGGGTTCGATCCCCGGGACCACCCATACGTAAAAATGTATGCGCACATGACTGTAAGTCACTTTGGCTAAAAGTGTCTGCTAAATGGCATATTACTATAATTCACCAAGGATCAGGACAAAAAAGGTCTAAGAAGGCCTCAAGACATGGTAAGTGTTATCTACCTTTTTTGTTTTTACGCATATAAAGTGTAACTATTTTTTCTAAATAGATAATATATGCCAGTCCTGGCTGTCTCATGTTCATTGTATATTATTGTCATCAAAAGTCACAGCGGAGGACATGGACCTTACCGGAACAGGTGACCATATTGCAGCTAATGGCGAAGGTGAGTATCGCCCTAAATAGAGCTTTACTCTGGGGCTTCTGACCCTAAAACAGGGTTTCTCCACCCCCCCCCCCCCAGAAGTTTCAAATTTTTGTTTTAACCCTAAACTGCCACACCTGATTTAATTAGTCAAAGGCTTGATAATTAGTTGACTAATTGAACCATGTGTGCCAGTTAAGGGTTAAAACAAAAATGTGAAACGTTTGGAGGGGCCTAGGAGAGTTTTGGGAAACCCTGCCCTAAAGGAACTTCAAGGGAGATGCCAAGAACGAGATCTCCCTTGGGGGATTTCTTTACTGACTTATCAAGGCTAGGATCGTTACACTTCTCCCTCGGTTCGGAAAACACAACCTGTGCTTCTCTATCACAAATCCCTCACGCCTTAACAGGACATGCTTTTGACCATCATACACTATCCTACTTCTGCTCATCAGAGTAGCAAATGGTAGGAGGGGGTATTGACCTGAGGTAGGCTTCAAGCCAGGTTTCTTGACCCTAAGGGTCAACAACCCCAAGAAAGTAAGGGCCTCATCAAGGCTAGCGTTGTTCCTACTTGTCAGGCAGCATGACTACCTTGTTAGGAAATGTCTAATTAGTACTAAATACAGTTGCAATAATGACCAATTTTAGCTGGCTCACTGGCTTTAATTTCATTGTGGGATTAAAAACAAAGTAGTGCTATAAAACGTTCAAATCCTCAGACTGATTGACTGCAACCTAAGCCTCTGTCTTGCAGGCATGAACTCTTAGGGTGCATGTATTGAAAATAGATTCAAGATGTTATATTACTCCCAAAATAAGAGGAACCACAGCTAATGTACATTAAAACCACATAGTTATGCACATGTAGTTTAATGGGGGGTATACAGAAGATAGCCCTATTTGGTTAAAGACCAAGTCCATATTATGTCAAGAACAGCTCAAATAAGCAAAGAGAAACGACAGTCCATCATTACTTTAAGACATGAAGGTCAGTCAATACGGAACATTTCAAGAATTTAACATTTTTTCAAGTGCAGTCGCAAAAACCAACTGGCTCTCATGAGGACCGCCACAGGAATGGAAGAACCAGAGTTACCTCTGCAGCAGAGCATAAGTTCATTAGAGTTACCCGCTTCAGAAATTGCAGCCCAAATAAATGCTTCACAGAGTTCAAGTAACAGTCACATCTCAACACCAACTGTTCAGAGGAGACTGTGTGAATCAGGCCTTCATGGTCAAATTGCTGCAAAGAAACCACTACTAAAGGACACCAATAATAAGAAGAGACCTGCTTGGGGCAAGAAACACGAGCAATGGACATTAGACCGGTGGAAATGTGTCCTTTGGTCTGGAGTCCAAATTTGAGATTTTTGGTTCAAACCGCTGTGTCTTTGCGAGACGTGGTGTGGGTGAACGGATGATCTCCGCATGTGTAGTTCCCACTGTAAAGCATGGAGGAGGAGGTGTTATGGTGTGGGGGTGCTTTGCTGGTGACACTGTCTGTGATTTATTTAGAATTCAAGGCACACTTAACCAGCATGGCTACCACAGCATTCTGCAGCAATACACCATCCCATCTGGTTTGCTCTTAGTGGGACTATCATTGGTTTTTCAATAGGACAATGACCCAACACACCTCCAGGCTGTGTAAGGGCTATTTTACCAAGAAGGAGAGTGATGGAATGCTGCATCAGATGACCTGGCCTCCACAATCCCCCGACCTCAACCCAACTGAGTTGGTTTGGGATGAGTCGGACGGCAGAGTGAAGGAAAAGCAGCCAACAAGTGCTCAGCATATGTGGGACCTCTTTCAAGACTGTTGGAAAAGCATTACTGGTGAAGCTGGTTGAGAGAATGCCAAGAGTGTGCAAAGTTGTCATCAAGGCAAAGGGTGGCTATTTGAAGAATCTCAAATATAAAATATTTTTTGATTTGTTAACACTTGTTGGTTACTCAATTCATATGTGTTATTTCATAGTTTGATATCTCACTATTATTTACAATGTAAAAATTTAGAAAGAAGAAAAACCCTTGAATGAGTAAGTGGTGTCCACACTTTCATACGTATATATATTTTTAGACTGAACAGGTGGGGCTCAACTATCCTTAGACTGCCTTAGCTTATTTAGCACTTTTGATGAATTTTCATTATGAAGCTCTACCAGTCAGCACCACGCTAAAAGCGAGCTATTCACTTGGCGCAAGTGGCAGTCTGAGGAGAAAGGTTCACACATCACCATGTGATACACATTGTGATGCAAAATTTCGGGAACTTTCAATAAATTCGCTGGTTTTCAAGAAGTCCTTGAAGCATTCACGATGTCCTTCTCATTCCCTCCTGATTCCGGGAAATGTCCGTCCGGGATTTCGGGAAAACCATGATTTTCAGTCATGCACATATCCAGTTTTTTTTTTTATTGCCGGTGGGTGCTATGATGAGGCATCGCCAATAGACGGGTCTGTGAGACAGTGGATTGAGCTAAACCACTGCATTGTGAAGCACATAGCACAGCACAAATGTGTTAGTACGGCTCTAGCGATCAACAGAATTGAGGGTAGCCTAAACCGCAACAGGCATCTATTTTAACTTGGCGCTAAGTGCAGGTGGTAGTTCGTTGCACGGGCTGAAATGTGCATTTGAGACCTGTAGCATCAACTCCAACGGATCTCCTATCTGACTTCATTTTTCGCATAAGTTACTGCGTCTTTTTCCAAGGACTTGCAAGTGCATGCATGGGCTTTATCGTTTGGTTTAGGGGCTACCAAAAAGGCTATACCCGAACAGTTAGATCATCAGAACAGCCAGCCTACATGGTCTGGTAATTTGTTTATGGAAGGTATCCTGGCGCACAGGCTGACATTATTGTAGTTTCAGCCCATAACTGGGCAGACATTTCGTGTGATGGGACTCTCCAAACTCTGAAGGTAAGACATCTATCTCTAGTCTACAGCAGAGTGCAGGATTATACACCTGTGATGTAATGCGTGGTCCGCGTTATTTATTTGATAAACCTTTACACATTACTGATTTCTCGTGGTTTGGACGGCTCTTGGCTTCATTCAACTCACTTTTCTCTTTATACCTCATAAGGCGAGCTTGTGGATGGTTATTTGAAAAGAGGCAAGCTGTGATGCAAGTTATATTTAAATAGTGTGTTCTTTTCCAATGGTTCTTCAAATGATCCCCAAGTTGCGCAATGATTGAATATGATTTACGCGCAATCACGCAAGAGCAGGTTAATAATGTGAACTCATTCAGTGGGTATGTGCTGTGCTGCATACATCTTAACCACACACATTGCCCCATGTAATCAAAATATGAGTGAGCAGCAGGCAGTGGCGCGTTATTACATTCTAAAGCTAACCGCACCTTTGTGGTTTTCACAGTTGCCGAGTACCAGGGTGAGAGTATTCTCACGCCTATTGAGTGAAAGAGGCTATATTTGTGTATGAGACAGACAGGGTTATCATGTTAAGATTGCCATAGATAATGTTACCACAGCTGTTTAGTCTGGGCTGGCTATTCTACCCTCTTTGTAATTCGGGAGATACAATAGCAGCTATAGACATCATTAGATCATTGTTCAAAACCGAGAAACTCCGTGTATGGCTATTCATCTATTCTGAACAAAAATATGAACGCAACATGCAACAATTTCATATTTTAGGTACAGTTCATATAAGGAAATCAGTCAATTGAAATTAATTAATTAGGCCCTAGTCTATGGATTTCACACACTGGGCAGGGGCTCATCCATGGATGGGCCTGGGAGGGCATAGGCCCACCCACTTGGGAGCCAGGCCAACCCACTGGGGAGCCAGGCCCAGCCAATCAGAATGAGTTTTTCCCCCACAAAAGGGCTTCATTACAGACAGAAATAGGCTTCAGCACCCATCTCCCCCATTTTTACGATCCCGCAGGTGAAGAAGCCGGATGTGGCGGTCCTGGGCTGGCATGGTTACCTGTGGTCTGTGGTTGTGAGGCCGGTTGGACGTACTGCCAAATTCTCTAAAACAGTGTTGGAGGCGGCTTATGGTAGAGAAATTAACATTAAATTATTTGGCAACAGCTCTGGTAGACATTCCTGCAGTCAGCATGACAATTGCACACTCCCTCAAAACTTGAAACATCTGTGCCATTGTGTTGTGTGACAAAACTGCACAGTTTACAGTGGCCTTTTAGTGTCCCCAACACGAGGTGCACCTGTGTAATGATTATGCTTTTTAATCAGCTTCTTGATATGCCACACCTGTCAGGTGGATGGATATCTTGACAAAGGATAAAATGCTCACTAACAGGGACGTAAAGAAATTTGTGCACAACATTTGAGAGAAATAACCTTTTTGTGCGTATGGAACATTTCTGGGATATTTTATTTCCGCTCATGAAACCTGGGACCAGCACTTTTCATGTTGCGTTTATATTTTGATCAGTGTATGATTGAATAGTGAGGAAAAATGAGGCATTGTTATGACCTGGTAATATACACTGCTCAAAAAAATAAAGGGAACACTTAAACAACACATCCTAGATCTGAATGAATGAAATAATCTTATTAAATACTTTTTTCTTTACATAGTTGAATGTGCTGACAACAAAATCACACAAAAATTATCAATGGAAATCAAATGTATCAACCCATGGAGGTCTGGATTTGGAGTCACCCTCAAAATTAAAGTGGAAAACCACACTACAGGCTGATCCAACTTTGATGTAATGTCCTTAAAACATGTCAAAATTAGGCTCAGTAGTGTGTGTGGCCTCCACGTGCCTGTATGACCTCCCTACAACGCCTGGGCATGCTCCTGATGAGGTGGCGGATGGTCTCCTGAGGGATCTCCTCCAGACCTGGACTAAAGCATCCACCAACTCCTGGACAAACCGGTCATGCTGGAGAATGTTGCAGGCAGCAGAACGTTCTCCACGGCGTCTCCAGACTCTGTCACAAACCTGCTTTCATCTGTGAAGAGCACAGGGCGCCAGTGGCGAATTTGCCAATCTTGGTGTTCTCTGGCAAATGCCAAACGTCCTGCACGGTGTTGGGCTGTAAGCACAACCCCCACCTGTGGACGTCGGGCCCTCATACCACCCTCATGGAGTCTGTTTCTGACCGTTTGAGCAGACACATGCATATTTGTGGCCTGCTGGAGGTCATTTTGCAGTGCTCTGGCAGTGCTCCTCCTGCTCCTCCTTGCACAAAGGCGGAGGTAGCGGTCCTGCTGCTAGGTTGTTGCCCTCCTACGGCCTCCTTCACGTCTCCTGATGTACTGGCCTGACTCCTGGTAGCGCCTCCATGCTCTGGACACTACGCTGACAGACACAGCAAACCTTCTTGCCACAGCTCGCATTGATGTGCCACCCTGGATGAGCTGCACTACCTGAGCCACTTGTGTGGGTTGTAGACTCCGTCTCATGCTACCACTAGAGTGAAAGCACCGCCAGCATTCAAAAGTGACCAAAACATCAGCCAGGAAGCATAGGAACTGAGAAGTGGTCTGTGGTCACCACCTGCAGAACCACTTCTTTATTGTGGGTGTCTTGCTAATTGCCTATAATTTCCAGCTGTTGTCTATTCCATTTGCACAACAGCATGTGAAATGTATTGTCAATCAGTGTTGCTTCCTAAGTGGACAGTTTGATTTCACAGAAGTGTGATTGACTTGGAGTTACATTGTGTTGTTTAAGTGTTCCCTTAATTTTTTTGAGCAGTATATCTTGCTACACTAATATCATTCATAGTCATACATCATATTCAAGTGCAATGATAGTTACTCAGCACACGTGCAATAACTATTAGGTCTAATGTTATTCATCAGCGCTTTGGATTGCTGCTACCCACCACTGATTATAACATATGAATCCCTATACACAGTGATATGAATCAGCTATGAGCGTTGGGTTACGTTCCAGTCTGTGCACCAGGTCAAACCGATCCGCCGGCTTCATTACAGTGGGTTTTGACCAGAGCGGCGCCCCCTCTTGACAACGCTTCGCTCCGCCGCACTTGAAATATGCATAAAGTAGAGCAGAGTCCAACCTTTTCTACCGCTCCGCTAGCTGGGTTCTCGCCACTCACCTTCCCACAATCCCCTGCACATTTCTCTGCGTGCCCTTGTTGAAAATGAATTAATTGTTGGTGAAAACCCTACATTACTTTGTGTGTGGGAGCGCAGACAGGGGTGTGGGCGGCCCGACTCCACCAGCTGCCCACGGAGCAGCGGGGATTAGGACAGGGCCTGGTGTTCTGGATGTTTTTTTGGTCTGCAGCCTCACTGATTTGACCACAGTTGCTGTCCCTCCCCGCTAGGATGTTTTCTGTCAGACTTAAAGCTGCAATATGTAACTTTTTGGATGACCTGACCAAATCCACATAGAAATGTAAGTTATAAATATGTCATTCTAATTGAAAGCAAGTCTAAGAAGCGGTAGATCTGTTCTATGTGCGCTATTTCTATGCTTCCTGTTCTAAAGTTTTGTGTTTGCGTCTTTTACTTTCGGTTTTGTACACCAGCTTCAAACAGCTGAAACAACAATATTTTTGGTTATGGAAAATATATTTCACAGCTGTTTAGATGGTACAATGATTCTCTACACTATACTAGCTTGTTTTGTCACATTAACTGAAATTCAGCGAACTATAAGAATTTTAACAACCAGGAAACGGCGGAGCGATTTCTGCATAGTGCATCTTTAAGGCTTTGACTTGTAAGTCTGTCTGGAGGTTTTCAATAAAGCTTGTGACATGGCTCAATAGAGCAACACAGTGGGATGATGGGAATGAGGGGGAGATATACACTACATCGGCAAATATATGTGGACACCTGCTCGTCGAACATCTCATTCCAAAATCATGGACATTAATATGGAATGGTCCCCCCCTTTGCTGCTATAACAACCTCCACTCTTCTGGGAAGGCTTTCCACTAGATGTTGGAACATTGCTGCGTGACTTGCTTCCATTCAGCCACAAGAGCATTAGTGAGGTCGGGCACTGATGTTGGGTGATTAGGCCTGGCTCGCAGTTGGCATTCCAATTCATCCCAAAGGTGTTTGATGGGGTTGAGGTCAGGACTCTGTGCAGGCCAGTCAAGTTCTTCCACACCGATCTCGACTAACCATTTCTGTATGGACCAAACTTTACAGTTGGCACTATGCATTCGGGCAGGTAGCGTTCTCCTGGCATCCGCAAAACCCAGATTCGTCAGTCGGATTGCCAGATGGTGAAGCGTGATTCATCACTCCAGAGAGTGCGTTTCCATTGCTTCAGAGTCCAATGGCGGTGAGCTTTACACCACTCCAACCGACGCTTGGCATTGCGCATGGTGATCTTAGGCTTATGTGCGGCTGCTCGGCCATGGAAACCCATTTCATGAAGCTCCCGACGAACAGTTCTTGTGCTGACGTTGCTTCCAGAGGCAGTTTGGAACTCGGCAGTGAGTGTTGCAACCGAGGACAGACCATTTTTATGTGCTGCGCGCTTCAGTACTTTGCGGTCCCGTTCTGTGAGCTTGTGGGGCAGAAATTTTACGAACTGACTTGTTGGAAAGGTGGCATCCTATGACGGTGCCACGTTGAAAGTCACTGAGCTCTTCAGTGAGGCCATTCTACTACCAATGTTTGTCTATGGAGATTGCATGGTTGTGTGCTCGATTTTATACACCTGTCAGCAACGTGTGTGGCTGAAATAGCCGAATCCACTAATTTGAAGGGGTGTCCACATACTTTTGACCATGTAGTGTAATGTACAGGTCTTCTAAAGTCAAACCTCATCAGCTTGTTTTGGTGAGATTCTGTTCAAGTTGCATGATGAGCTGAGCTGAGTGTGTATGTTGTTGATTTAACAGCTGTAAATATTGGGGAACGTGTTGCTTACTGTGCTCTTTTTGCGAATCAGTTACTGTAAAATATGTTTTTATCCATCTACAGTCCTTATGCATGCTCCCTTTAGCCACCACACATAGTAAAGCAGTACTTTCAATACACAATCCCTTTTGCAAAATCAATCAGACAATTAGTCAAAATCAAAACAACCAATTGCTTATGGAGTTGATTGATCCATGTGCCATTCACTTTATATTAGGCCTTCCTATGTTCCTTCAAAGGCCCACTGATAGAAGTGTTTGTGTAAACGACTGGGTTTGAACCTGGGTTCTCCGGCATGCTGCCAGATTGTTAGCCCTCTGAGCTAAAGCCAGAGCATTAGCTCAATAGTTAACGCAAGTCTTCAGATCTCAGGCAAGGTTACTCATTGTGGGAGTATGATTCACCACCAATTGGCTCATTCATCCCCCCTCCGCTCCCCTGTAACTATTCCCCAGGTCGTTGCTGTAAATGTGAATGTATTCTCAGTCAACTTACCTGGTAAAAGAAAGAAAGAAAGAAAAGCACCTCCGTTACATTTGGAGTGATATAACATACAGCAGGTCATTTGTTTGGTGATCCACACCTCAGCAGCATGAACAAAAGGAATTCAGCTACAGTGGGTGTGATGCGCAGTTAGAAAATAGATCTGTCCCCATACATACAGTAGAAACCCCAACGCCTCCAACACCCCCCTCCTCTCTCCTCTTTCTGCAGGCATATTGCCTCTCCCAAAGCCTTTTGTATACATGCTTTACTTTTCACTCGTCTCTAGAGATATCTAGAGCAGCCAGCGACCTCTCTGACTTGCGTCAACGCCGCCATGCCCCAGTGCCTTGCTAGGCAAACTGAGCTTAATTGGATTCTTTGTAAATGGCTAATTAATGCCGAAGGACTGAGATCTGGTTAGAGGATGGATAGAGAGGTGGGGAGGGAGAGAGAGAAGGAAAGTGGGGTGTGTGTGTGGTAGATGTGGAGAAGGAAAGAGAGAGTGAGAAAGAGGGGAGAAAGAGAGGGATTTAGGAGTGGGAGAGAGTGAGAAAGACCGGCATGGAGGGAGGATGAACGGAGGCTGATCAGGAGGAAAACGGAGGAAGCAAAATCAATCCCAGGAAAGCGAAATAAACCAACAAAGAAAGTAATTACAGGGAAGGAGCTAACCAGAGGCATGCAGTCGCATCACTGGTGTACGCTTCACTGCTTCCTCTCCTCCTCCTCCTCTCACGCCTTCTCTCTTTTTCTTTCTCTCCCTTCCTCTATCTCCTACTTTCTCTACCTCCATATTTCTCTCTCTCGCCTTCACTCCCCCACAAGTTCCTGAGAGGAGCCAGAGAGGACCTGTGCAATTTCATCCTGTCAGTGCTCCTGAGAGAGAGAGAGAGAGAGAGAGAGAGAGAGGTCATGTTTAAAGGTCATGCTGTCCATAATTAAAGCAGCCAGGCGATACATAGTCAATGAGGTGGATGGTAGAACAAATAAAAGACAATGGGTGACCACACAGGAGTATCCGCCCTGTTGAGTAGTAGAAGCAGAGTATTGATGCTTATTCTGACCACAGTGCACTGCCTAGATCCAGTATCTGCAACAGGTGTGAAAGTATACGCTTCACTTTACCATACTCCTGCAATAGAATGTGTTCGTACATTTCATTATTCCTGTTGTAACCTCAGTTTATGTCTGTGTCCACAGAGACCCTTCTATTGCTCAGTGTTTATCTAATAGCTAGATACAAATGTAGAGTTCTCAGAGTTATGTTGTGTTATCCTCATTCCTATCATGCCCCAAGTCCCCGTCTTGCACACGGCCATAGCAGAGACAGAAAAGTAAGCGAGACACCCTACTCGCAGGTTTTGGACTGGTTCAATGAAAGTCAATGAACTAAGTAGACCAGACCCAGCTGCTATTGTATTGGTGTCTATGGGAGACCCACCCCGTTAAGTAGACCGGAACGGACAATTATTTTCATTGGTGAACGGCCTGAATGAACTATATTCATTTATCCACCATCTTTGGCCCTAGTACTAATGCAGGAAGTGGGGGTTTTCCCCTCGGTGTTGGGGCTGTGTCATAGATATAGATTGAGGACTCTAGATGGATATCACATGGACATTGATGAACATGGACATTAATGAGTCCTCTATCTATCTCTATGGGCTGTGTTGTTCAGGAGGGAAAGCAAACAGAAACTAGTCAGTTGCACTCTATACATAATTAATTGGCTGCGTGGTTGATATGAAACCGTTAATTCTTACTGTGACTCTAGAGAAAATACAGTATGTTTTACATTTTAGTTGTTTTAGCAGACGCTCTTATCCAGAGCGACTTACAGTTAGTGAGTGCATACATTTCCATACTAGAATGTGTAGTTGGATTTTAAACAAGACATTGCCCCTTGTGACTATAGAAAAGGGAAGTATGAATGAGAATGTCAGTGGAACTCACTCATAGCAGACCTGGGTTCAAATAGTAATTGTCTTCTTACAAATAACTTTAGCTGCGCTTGATTGAGCTTGCCCGGGCGCAAATGTAACCAACTGAGTAGTCCCAAATGTGCAAACCCCTCCCACCTGGACTGGCACCCCAGGCAGGCTCAATCAAAACAAACGTATTTGAAAGCAAATGAATATTAATTCATCCCAGGTCTGTACTGGCGTTTTGAGTGAGGATGTTTTGAGGATGTCCTCCTGGGCTAGTCAAAGCTTATCTCAGTCTATAATGGGTGTATCATGCTGGCTATGGCGGACCTGGCGGTGTCCTCCTCTGCCCTGTGGTAAAAAGAGAGGCCCACATTTGCATCGTGGGGAGTTTAATGATAGCTGGCAGAGAGACGGTTAGCCTGTTGGCCTCAGGGACCACGACAACAACAGGAAGCGAATTCTGAAACTCAAATCAGCGCTGCGGGGAGATGGAGAGAGACGGAAGAGAGGAACGATGATGGGGGAGAGAGAGAGAAATGAGAGAAAAACAAAAGTGTCTTGGCATAGTGCCTTGTGGGTAGTTGGCGTGTCATTTCTCAGTTGATCTGTCACTCTCGTTCAGCATAGAAAGAGGAATATATGTGTGGGTGTGAGGAGATAACACTATGTGAGAGGATGTGTTAACTGTAATGTGTCTTTACTTGGTGATTTGAATGAGGAATATGAAGAGGAAATATCAATATCAACTGAACTCATTGTTCATATAATCCTTAAACAACTCATTCAAAGCACACACACACGTTTGTTTTACTATCCTTGTGGGGACCAAACAATTGATTCCCATTCAAAATCCTTCTTCCCCTAACCCCTAACCTTAACCCTACCCCTAACCTTAAGCCTAACCCTAACCCCTAACCCTAAGTGTAACCCAACCCTAACAAAACCCTTTTTCCTTGTGGGGACCGGTGAAATGTCCCCACTTGTCCGAATTTTCCTTGTTTTACTATCTTTGTGAGGACTTCTGGTCCCCGCAAGGATAGTGAAAAAACACACACACCCACAGACTTCCGGCATTTGTTATGTTACTTATGTAGCTAGTTGTCACATCTGGTAGAGGACAGAAGTTGAACAGGAAGCATCTGTACAAAGAAATAAAAACATTCAGGCTTTCATACCACAATGCCTGTCATAATAAACATGATTATATAGAAGACCTGGGTTCAAATACTATTTGAACCCAGGTCTGGATTGTCATTGTGGATGCAACGTTTTCTGCAGCTGTGCGCAATCTACAATAATGCTGACTGGCTCGAGTAATTATGCACTGTACAGTACATTTCACAATCAACAGTTGTTTCTCAGAAACATAGTTGCTCTGAACAAACATCCTCTTTTTATTTATGTATTCATAAGTATGACGGAGTATGTGTTGCTTTCCCCCACACATACTTTAGGGAATGTTGTCACTCGTTTTTGGAAGCGATCTCTGTTGTCTTCTACTCCCTTTTCCCATCATCTCTCCATCTCCCAATCTATTTTCCCTCTCTTTCTTTCCTACACACTTTCCCCTTTCCCTCCATTTCTCCTTCCATCCCTTGCTCCCTGTCTCACTACCCTCCCTCTTCATCTTTCTTTCTTTCTTTCTTTCTTTCTTTCTTTCTTTCTTTCTTTCTTTCTTTCTTTCTTTCTTTCTTTCTTTCTTTTTCTTTCTTTCTTTCTTTCTCTTTCTTTCTTTCTTTCGATTCTCATCACTAATCTCTGTTAGCAGCAGTAACCTAACCTCCCTCTCTACCATGCCTGTCCCTGAGATACCACAGCCCCGGGCAGGATGTGTGGCCCTTCCTGGTCCTCCTAGTCTACACTCAAAATAGAAACTATCGGTCAAAAGGCGCCTATATAGAGGTCTATATCTGTCATGCAACAACAACAGCTCCTCCCCTGCACCACTTCCTGGACTTGAACCGTAGTGGGTGCTGGGTAGAGGGGGGTGATAGATTTCTCCCAACGCCAACCACTGATACAGGGTCAGATACCTTTTCATCCTCCGAAATGGATTAGGGTTGAGGCAGCCTGTTGCAATTCAGGACAATGTGTACATTTCTTATGAGACCTATTCAGATTGGGGAAAGGGTCACCTGGCGGGGTGTGGGGTGGGCGGAGCGGAGCGGGGTCTGGTACATATAGAATACTCATTAGTCTGAATTAAGGAATGCATCCTTCCTCAGGTTCCTTTACAGCAGAGTCCCATGGCTATTACCACTGATGACATTAATCATGAGCCTTTTCCCGGAATGCTGGAGAGAATCTATTCTAGACCAATCAATGGCAGTATGTGTGGGAGGCATGGCATATCACATCAGCCTTGGGGATTTACTGCTGCCATTTACATTGGCTCATTATGGGATTTTCAATACCATGATGGATGTCATTGATGTGGCAGGGAAGGTGTGTGTGCTAGGGCAGGTGTGTCTGTGTGAGTGTGTGTACGCATTAATCAGTGTGTCCGCATCCGTGTGTGTGTGTGTGTGTATGTGCTAGTATGTATCTCTACGTGCGAGTCCCCTTTATGTGGTGGTGTATCCTGAGGAAGCCAGTCTAGCAGGTCTGTCAATGAGAGCCTTGATGATGAGAAGCATTGATGAGGCCAGTCAGTCCTGCAGCTAGCAGCAGTCACTGCAGTAAACAAACGGCATCATTCACCACTCTGCACCAACCGCGATGTTCCCACCGTCGCCCCTGTTAGTATGCATGCATCACAATCACAGACAGTTCGCCAGGCCATTCCACGGTGATGGGGAAAAAAGCACTCAAACACTGCGGCCAATTCTCCCGGCGTGTTAGTGCCTTCTCGCTGTAGCATTTGCAAAGCGTAAAAATCACTGTGTGATACATTGATATTGTTTTGATTATTTAATTTCAGACTCAGATTTATGTATTGTTTTTTGTTGTCTACGGGTTAATGTTGCCTGGAGACATACAATGACATGAATCGAAGAGGGGCTTAGAGCATATAAGGGTGCGTGTGTGCGTGTGTGTGTATGTGTGCGTGTGTGTGTGTGACTGGTACACAACGGCAGCTCTTAGCCCATCGGTGAGGGAATATACAGTAGTAGAAGTAATGGTCGGACAGTCAGAATAGACACTGTGGATCAGCGGCCCTTAACCCCCACCCCCCTCAATACCCCCACACCCCTTAAGCTGCCCTATCAATAGTCCTAGACCATCGTCACCGGGCGGAGGGTGAGCTTCACCCGAAACAATCCATCCACCCAGAGCTAGAGCTGTTGAATCAACATTGCGATAGAAACCAAAACCTCAGAACGGAGAGTGAAATAAAGGGATGGAGAGGGGACTTGTTCTTTGGTTCTAGTAAAGGAGGAACTGTCACCTGGGTGATAAGTGTGTGGCTTCTTTAGGACGGGTTAATTTCAGCCTTTGGTGATAAGGGAGAATGGACCCATCGTTTCTATTGTGTTGCTGAAGGACCGTTGAAACAGTGAGGTCAGAATTCAGAGAGCTATTCAGAGGAGGGCAGGTCCTAGTCTCTATGGAGAGAGGCTGGTTGGTGGAGAAGTCGGTGGCGTCATTGCAGTCGCGTAGGTTATCAGATCCCGCAATGCCTGGAGAAATCAGAGGAACACATACCTGTACGTGACGATGATATTAGTGAAGATGATACCTATCTAGCAGGTGCAGCGTGACTGAAAAAAAGACAACCGGCAACGTCACCCTCCTCACAAGATCAGACTGCACTTGAAAGATGGTGCCAACAGGGAAGAACAGAGAAGTGACTTGTGATACCACACATTTGGAGACAACAGTTTCTGCTCTATAAATTTTTCATAAATATAGTCCACTCTGGTACACTTCTGGGGTTTTCTCTAGCTTCCTCAATTCAGCACACAAAGTTCATTTTCAACTAAAAACTCAGACAAGAGAAAGTTTGTGGCTGGATGCAGTATTGTTAGCTGTAAAACAGATTAAGCCAACAACACATTACCGTATTTAATGACAGGGTTGAAGCTTTGATGATGTCTTCAGGTTACAAGTCCATGTATTTATATAACCATAACAGACCAGAAGTATTTGTCTTATTGGCGTGACTATAGTATGCATTGGTTGAAGCCCAATGTTAAATTCTAATCTAAAAACCAGCAGCATCCCACGCTGCATCCCACTGCTGGCTTGCCTCTGAAGCTAAGCAGCGTTGGTCCTTGTCGGTCTCTGGATGGGAGCCCAGATGCTGCTGGAAGTGATGTTGGAGGGCCAGTAGGGGGCAGTCTTCTCCGGTCTAAGTACTGAACAAAAATATAAACGCAACATGCAACAATTTCAAAGATTTTACTGAGTTACATGTTCATAGGAAATCAGTGAATTTAAATTAATTAATTAGGCCCTAATCTATTGATTTTACGTGTCTGGGAATACAGATATTCATCTGTTGGTCACAGATGCCTTAAAAAAAAGGCACGACAATGGCACGTCAATGGGACTTAGGATCTCATCACAGTATCTCTGTGCATTCAAATTGTGTTCGTTGTCTGTAGCTTATGCCTGCCCATACCATAACACCACCGCCACCGTGGGGCACTCTGTTCACAACATCAACAAACTGCTCGTCCACACGACGCCATTCAAAACTTGTGACATTATGTTGTGTGACAAAACTGCACATTTTAGAGTGGCCTTTTATTGTCCCCAGCACAAGGTGCACCTGTGTAATGATTATGCTGTTTAATCAGCTTCTTGATATGCCACACCTGTCAGGTGGATGGATTCTCTTGCCGAAGGAGAAATGCTCACTAACAGGGATGTAAACAAATTTGTTCACAAAATTTGAGAGAAATAAGCTTTTTTGTGTGCATGGAACATTTCTGAGATCTTTTATTTCAGCTCATGAAACATGGTACCAACACTTTACATGTTGTGTTTTATATTTTTGTTCAGTGTAGATCTCAGGCATTGAAGGGGACATTGCCCTGTGTAGGGTGCCGTCTTTCGGATGGGACGTTAAACGGGTGTCCTGACTCTCTGTGGTCATAAAAAAATCCCATGGCACTTATCGTAAGAGTAGGGGTGGTAACCTTGGTGACATGGGATTGAACAAGAAAGCCTGCATAACCCTGTAGCTCTTCAAGAGCAATTAGGCCTTCCATCAGTAAACTTTAAAGTAGATTTTCATGTAAATAGTTAATGAGTACATGTTGATTATTTTGTGTATTGTTCCAGGAGCTTTCTCGGTTGTCTTGTTAAAAGATATCAGGGATTTATCTATATGAGTGACTGTGTCGAACACAACGCCTCCTGTTATGTTGGGAACCTAATGACCAAAACAGATCCTATGAAATATATTTGTTTTTCAATGACATGTATTGTTAAAATAAAGGTTTAAGGAAATACAGGCAGGCACCACATTACTACAAGACAAAACAGTTCATTCAATCAAGCCTTGAAAAGGTAGTGGAATGGGGTAATGTCTTAGTGTGGGGTGGGAATAATGCAATACATTACCTTGTATGCGGAACAAATCACATTATTGTGGGAGCACCTCCTCTAAAGCTGTGTTCACATTGGCAGTTTGAAGTGACTCAAATCCTATTTATTTGCATATCTGATTCAAATCTGTTCTTTTTCCTGCAGTCTGAACAGCCAAAAAGCACACCTTCGTAGGTGGTTTGAAGTCAGATACAAATCTGATTCCTGGCCATGTGACTTGTTTCTGAACGGTCAAATCTGATTTATTTGCCCTCAAGTGGCATATTTTGTTGCTTGCTAGCTACTCTGTTGACTGTTTGACAAGAACATGTGGTAGCTAACTAGCTTGTTAATCGTTTACAAACAAATGAGTGAATGTGCTAGAAAGCTAAACAGCTACCTAGCTAGCTAGTTGACTGCTGTGGCTAGCCAAAAGGACTCGTTTTGAAAGTTGGATCATTTTATCCTTTTGAGGGATTAAAAGTGTTCTTACCCTGTGATTTTGAACATTCAAAGCAACTGGGAAACGTCCATGGCAGGCATTGGTGTCAGCTTAGCTTGCTACATAACTTCTGAGTGATAGGAAGCACAAGCACCACCACTAATCAGCCTACACCACTGCACACACACATGTTGTTTCTATGACAATTAGCATATCCTAGTCAGCAAATGCCGTCAGAACACACACACATCCGATTTGGTCACTTGTAACTTGCTGCTTGGACAGTCAGTAGTCCAAAACAAATTTTAAGAACAAAACTGATTTGAGCGTTAAGGCCTGCAGTGTGAACAAGGCTTTAGAGTATGAATTAGGCTGTTTTTAGAAGGTTTGAATCCTAAGCAACCTGCATACACATTGTTTGAAGTAGAATAGACCAACATAGCTACTGTAGTAGGTCAAAGCTGTGTGCTGGAAAACCTTGGTAGAGCATGGGTGAAGTACACATTGTGGTGCTCATGTGAATGTCCTTTTTTGGCTTCAGACCAATGCATACTTCTCACTTAAAATGTAATTTTTTGTTTTTAATAGAGGTACTGGACTAACTGTGTGGCAGCAGCACCTCTGTCTTCCTGCTTTTACTGACTGATGGTAAAGGGCTTTGAGGTCTCTCTCTCACTCTCTTTCTCTCTCTCGCTCTCCTGCTCTGAGCCCCTGTGGTATGTTTGTGTCTCAGACTGCTCGTGAAGCCTGTAATTGAGTGTGTCCGCTCTGCAGCAGAATCAGCCAAGGGAAGAAGGCTTCTTTCTTTTGTGACACACACTTCGGCTGCAATGCCAACATCCATTCCCTATGTAAACCAGCCACCAAAGATCACCGTTCTGGCTGGTGCAGGCTAGAGTCCTAACACACACACAGGCACGCAAGCATGCATGTGCACATGACACACACACACCAACCCTCCATCTCTACCCCCTATGCAGTGGAGACCTAATGCACATACCCACAATATCTAAAAGCAATCAAACCTCAGAGCTAATATGAATTCCTGGGAACCGTAGCCAGAACATACAGATGTAGGATCTAAATCTGATCACCCTGTTGCAGGAGAGCTTTCCTGCAATGCAGGAAATGTAAAACTTGTAGTCTATTTGTGGTTTAAAAAGGCTTCTAAATATTGTAATTTTCCCTTACAAAAAATGTATCAACCCCTACAAAAATGTCAAACAATTATAATCCACATAATAATTAACCTTTCCTGTTGCTGCAGGATTATTTTCCTGCTGTAGCAAACTGGCTCAAATTAAGATCATACATATCAATGCACTAACCACAGCTCTCTACTGTGCTCAATAACAGTTCAGTTTGGCCTATTTTATCTCCTGACTGGTGACAAAAGTATTTCACTACCCCATAAATATGGCAACAGTGTAATGAGTGTACACCTCATGGAATGGTCTCTCTCTCTCTGGCTGGGCATCTAGTTGTGTGTGCGTGTGTGTCTCTGTGTGTGCCTGCATGTGTGTATGGGTGGGCGTGAGGATGTGTTGCCACCCCGCTGAGCAGTACCTCACTAAAATAGCATACTAAGAAAAACCAGGATAACAGTTTCTTTTGAATGTGGAACCACAGAGTGAGATGATTGACACGCCTTGTATTATTTCCCCTGTGTGCAAGTTAATGACTGCAATGCTATTTCAGGAAGATGTGGTTTTCCGGGTGAAAGGGGGCTATTGCAAGACTGACAGACTTATCAGTCTTGTTGTCTGTGGGTTTCTCTCAGTCACATCCCATACGGTAAAAAAATACATTTCAAATACATGTAGATTTATTGCATCTTTGCTCAAATGCATGTAATGCCTTAAAATGTATTCCAGATATATATAAAAAAAAGTATAAATGAAACCTTTAATTAACTAGGCAAGTCAGTTAAGGACACATTCTTATTTACAATGACGGCCTACCAAAAGGCAAAAGGCCTCCTGCGGAGACGGGGCTGGGATTAAAAATATAGGACAAAACACACATCATGAAAAGAGAGACACCACAACACTACATAAAGAGAGACCTAAGACGACAACATAGCATGGCAGCAACACATGACAACACAGCATGGTAGCAAAACCACATGACCACAACATGGTAGCAGCACAAAATATGGTACAAACATTATTGGGCACAGACAACAGCACAAAGGGCAAGAAGGTAGAGACAACAATACATCACACGAAGCAGCTCGTTCCAGTCGATAGCTGCAGCAAACTGAAAAGAGGAGCGACCCAGGGATGTGTGTGCTTTGAGGACCTTTAACAGAATGTGACTGGCAGAACGGGTGTTGTATGTGGAGGATGAGGGCTGCAGTAGGTATCTCAGATAGGGGGGAGTGAGGCCTAAGAGGGTTTTATAAATAAGCATCAACCAGTGGGTCTTGCGACGGGTATACAGAGATGACCAGTTTACAGAGGAGTATAGAGTGCAGTGACGTGTCCTATAAGGAGCATTGGTGGCAAATCTGATGGCCGAATGGTAAAGAACATCTCCGTAATCTAGCATGGGTAGGATGGTCATCTGAATCAGGGTTCGTTTGGCAGCTGGGGTGAAAGAGGAGCGATTACGATAGAGGAAACCAAGTCTAGAGTTAACCTTAGCCTGCAGCTTTGATATGTGCTGAGAGAAGGACAGTGTACCGTCTAGCCAAAGACTCCCAAATACTTGTATGAGTTTACTACCTTAAGCTCTAAACTCAGAGGTAGTAATCACACCAGTGGGGAGATGGGCATTCTTCTTACCAAACCACATTACCTTTGTTTAGCAGGTGTTCAGAACAAGGTTAAGGGCAGAGAAAGCTGGTTGGACACTAAGAAAGCTTTGTTGTAGAGCGTTTAACACAAAATCCGGGGAGGGGCCAGCTGAGTATAAGACTGTATCATCTGCATATACAGTCGTGGTCAAAAGTTTTGAGAATGACACAAATACAAATTTTCACAAAGTCTGCTGCCTCAGTTTTGATGATGTCAATTTGCATATACTCCAGAATGTCATGAAGAGTGATCAGATGGATTGCAATTAATTGCAAAGTCCCTCTTTGCCATGAAAATGAACTTAATCCCAAAAAACCTTTCCACTGCATTTCAGCCCTGCCACAAAAGGACCAGCTGCCATCATGTCAGTGATTCTCTCGTTAACACAGGTGAGAGTTGACGAGGACATGGCTGGAGATCACTCTGTCATGCTGATTGGGTTAGAATAACAGACTGGAAGCTTTAAAAGGAGGGTGGTGCTTGAAATCATTGTTCTTCCTCTGTTAACCATGGTTACCTGCAAGGAAACACGTGCCGTCATCATTGCTTTGCACAAAAAGGGCTTCACAGGCAAGGATATTGCTGCTAGTAAGATTGCACCTAAATCAACCATTTATCGGATCATCAAGAACTTCAAGGAGAGAGGTTCAATTGTTGTGAAGAAGGCGTCAGGGCGCCCAAGAAAGTCCAGCAAGCGCCAGGACCGTCTCCTAAAGTTGATTCAGCTACGGGATCGAGGCACCACCAGTGCAGAGCTTGCTCAGGAATGGCAGCAGGCAGGTGTGAGTGCATCTGCACGCACAGTGAGGCAAATACTTTTGGAGGATGGCCTGGTGTCAAGAAGGGCAGCAAGAAGCCACTTCTCTCCAGGAAAAACATCAGGGACAGACTGATATTCTGCAAAAGGTACAGGGATTGGACTGCTGAGGACTGGGGTAATGTCATTTTCTCTGATGAATCCCCTTTCCGATTGTTTGGGGCATCCGGAAAACACCTTGTTCGGAGAAGACAAGGTGAGCGCTACCATCAGTCATGTGTCATGCCAACAGTAAAGCATCCTGAGACCATTCATGTGTGGGGTTGCTTCTCAGCCAAGGGAGTGGGCTCACTCACAATTTTGCCCAAGAACACAGCCATGAATAATGAATGGTACCAACACATCCTCCGAGAGCAACTTCTCCCAACCATCCAAGAACAGTTTGGTGACGACCAATGCCTTTTCCAACATAATGGAGCACCTTGCCATAAGGCAAAAGTGATAACTAAGTTGGCTCGGGGATAAAACATCGACATTTTGGGTCCATAGCCAGGAAACTCCCCAGACCTTAATCCCATTGAGAACTTGTGGTCGATCCTCAAGAGGCGGGTGGACAAACAAAAACCCACAAATTCTGACAAACTCCAAGCATTATGCAAGAATGGGCTGCCATCAGTCAGGATGTGGCCCAGAAGTTAATTTACAGTATTCCAGGGCGGATTGCAGAGGTCTTGAAAAAGAAGGGTCAACACTGCAAATATTGACTCATTGCATAAACTTAATGTAATGTCAATAAAAGCCTTTGACACTTATAGAATGCTTGTAATTATACTTCAGTATACCATAGTAACATCTGACAAAAATATCTAATTACACTGAAGCAGCAAACTTTGTGAAGACCAATACTTGTGTCATTCTCAAAACAGTGGCTTTCGGAAGTATTCACCCCCCTTGGCATTTTTCCTATTTTGTTGCCTTACAACCTGGAATTAAAATGGATTTTTGGGGGATTTGTATCATTTGATTTACACAACATGCCTACCACTTTGAAGATGCAAAATATTTTCTCTTGTGAAACAAACAAGAAATAAGACAGAAAAACTGAAAACTTGAGCGTGCATAACTATTCACCCCCCCCAAAGTCAATACTTTGTAGAGCTACCTTTTGCAGCAATTACAGCTGCAAGTCTCTTGGGGTATGACTCTATAAGCTTGGCACATCTAGCCACTGGGATTTTTGCCCATTCTTCAAAGCAAAACTGCTCCAGCTCCTTCAAGTTGGATGGGTTCCGCTGGTTTACAGCAATCTTTAAGTCATACCACATATTCTCAATTGGATTGAGGTCTGGGCTTTGACTAGGCCATTCCAAGACATTTAAATGTTTCCCCTTAAACCACTTGAGTCTTTATTTTTATTTATGTATTTTTCCAAATATATATATATATATATACACACACACACACACACAGTGGGGAAAAAAAGTATTTAGTCAGCCACCAATTGTGCAAGTTCTCCCACTTAAAAAGATGAGAGAGGCCTGTAATTTTCATCATAGGTACACGTCAACTATGACAGACAAATTGAGATTTTTTTTCTCCAGAAAATCACATTGTAGGATTTTTTATGAATTTATTTGCAAATTATGGTGGAAAATAAGTATTTGATTACCTACAAACAAGCAAGAGTTCTGGCTCTCACAGACCTGTAACTTCTTCTTTAAGAGGCTCCTCTGTCCTCCACTCGTTACCTGTATTAATGGCACCTGTTTGAACTTGTTATCAGTATAAAAGACACCTGTCCACAACCTCAAACAGTCACACTCCAAACTCCACTATGGCCAAGACCAAAGAGCTGTCAAAGGACACCAGAAACAAAATTGTAGACCTGCACCAGGCTGGGAAGACTGAATCTGCAATAGGTAAGCAGCTTGGTTTGAAGAAATCAACTGTGGGAGCAATTATTAGGAAATGGAAGACATACAAGACCACTGATAATCTCCCTCGATCTGGGGCTCCACGCAAGATCTCACCCCGTGGGGTCAAAATGATCACAAGAACGGTGAGCAAAAATCCCAGAACCACACGGGGGGACCTAGTGAATGACCTGCAGAGAGCTGGGACCAAAGTAACAAAGCCTACCATCAGTAACACACTACGCCGCCAGGGACTCAAATCCTGCAGTGTCAGACGTGTCCCCCTGCTTAAGCCAGTACATGTCCAGGCCCGTCTGAAGTTTGCTAGAGTGCATTTGGATGATCCAGAAGAGGATTGGGAGAATGTCATATGGTCAGATGAAACCAAAATAGAACTTTTTGGTAAAAACTCAACTCGTCGTGTTTGGAGGACAAAGAATGCTGAGTTGCATCCAAAGAACACCATACCTACTGTGAAGCATGGGGTGGAAACATCATGCTTTGGGGCTGTTTTCTGCAAAGGGACCAGGACGACTGATCCGTGTAAAGGAAAGAATGAATGTGGCCATGTATCGTGAGATTTTGAGTGAAAACCTCCTTCCATCAGCAAGGGCATTGAAGATGAAACGTGGCTGGGTCTTTCAGCATGACAATGATCCCAAACACACCCGCCCGGGCAACGAAGGAGTGGCTTCGTAAGAAGCATTTCAAGGTCCTGGAGTGGCCTAGCCAGTCTCCAGATCTCAACCCCATAGAAAATCTTTGGAGGGAGTTGAAAGACTGTTTGCCCAGTGACAGCCCCAAAACATCACTGCTCTAGAGGAGATCTGCATGGAGGAATGGGCCAAAATACCAGCAACAGTGTGTGAAAACCTTGTGAAGACTTACAGAAAACGTTGTGACCTGTGTCATTGCCAACAAAGGGTATATAACAAAGTATGAGAAACTTTGTTATTGGCCAAATACTATTTTCCACCATAATTTGCAAATAAATTCATGAAAAATCCTTACAATGTGATTTTCTGGATTTTTCTCCTCATTTTGTCTGTCATAGTTGATGTGTACCTATGATGAAAATTACAGGCCTCTCTCATCTTTTTAAGTGGGAGAACTTGCACAATTGGTGGCTGACTAAATACTTTTTTTCCCGTATGTATGTATGTATGTATGTATGTATGTTGTATGTATGTATGTATGTATGTATGTAGTATGTATGTGTGTGTGTGTGTATTATATATATATATATATATATATATATATATACACAGTGAGGGGAGAAAAGTATTTGATCCCCTGCTGATTTTGTACGTTTGCCCACTGACAAATACATGATCAGTCTATAATTTTAATGGTAGGTTTATTTGAACAGTGAGAGACAAATAACAACAAAAAAAATCCAGAAAAATGCATGTCAAAAATGTTATAAAATTCATTTGCATTTTAATGAGGGAAATAGTATTTGACCCCCTCTCAATCAGAAAGATTTCTGGCTCCCAGGTGTATTTTATACAGGTAACGAGCTGAGATTAGATGCACACTCTTAAAGGGAGTGCTCCTAATCTCTGCTTGTTACCTGTATAAAAGACACCTGTCCACAGAAGCAATCAATCAATCAGATTCCAAACTCTCCCCATGGCCAAGACCAAATACCTCTCCAAGGATGTCAGGGACAAGATGTAGACCTACACTAGGCTGGAATGGGCTACAAGACCATCGCCAAGCAGCTTGGTGAGAAGGAGACAAACATTTGGGGGCGATTCTTCGCAAATGGAAAGAAACACAAAAGACCTGTCAATCTCCCTCGGCCTGGGGCTCCATGCAAGATCTCACCTCGTGGAGTTGCAATGATCATGAGAACGGTGAGGAATCACCCAGAACTACACAGGAGGATCTTGTTAATGATCTCAAGGCAGCTGGGACCATAGTCACCAAGAAAACAATTGGTAACACACTATGCCGTGAAAGACTGAAATCCTGCAGCGCCCGCAAGGTCCCCCTGCTCAAGAAAGCACATATACAGGGCAGTCTGAAGTTTGCCAATGAACATCTGAATGATTCAGAGGAGAACTGGGTGAAAGTGTTGTGGTCAGATGAGACCAAAATCGAGCTCTTTGGCATCAACTCAACTCGCCGTGTTTGGAGGAGGAGGAATGCTGCCTATGACCCTAAGAACCCATCCCCACCGTCAAACATGGAGGTGGAAACATTTATGCTTTGGGGGAGTTTTTCTGCTAAGGGGGACAGGACAACTTCACCCGCATCAAGGGGAACGATGGGATGGGGCCATGTACCGTCAAATCTTGGGTGAGAACCTCCCTTCCCTCGCCATGGCATTGAAAAATGGGTCATGGATGGGTATCCAGCATGACAATGAACCAAACACACGGCCAAGGCAATAAGGAGTGGCTCAAGAAGAAGCACATTAAGGGTCCTGGAGTGGCCTAGCCAGTCTCCAGACCTCAATCCCGTAGAAAAATCTGTGGGAGGGGAGCTGAAGGTTCGAGTTGCCAAACGTCAGCCTCAACCTTAATGACTTGGAGAAGATCTGCAAAGAGAAGTGAACAAAAATCCCCCTGAGATGTTTGTGCAAACCTGGTGGCCAACTACAGAAACTGTCTGACCTCTGTGATTGCCACCAAGGGTTTTGCCACTAAGTTATGTTTTGGCAGAGGGGTCAAATACTTATTTCCCTCATTAAAAAGCAAATCAATTTATAACATTTTTGAATGCGTTTTTCGGATTTTTTTTTTGATTCTGTTCACACTGTTCAATAACCTACCCTTTTAAAATTTTAGATATATGTCTTTGGCAGTGGGCAAACTACAAAATCAGCAGGGGAAAAAAATACTTTTTCCCCCCTGTATATATATATATAATTTTAAACAGGGGGGAAAAAAAGTATTTAGTCACACCAATTGTCAAGTTTCCCACTTAAAAGTGAGAGAGGGCCCGTAATGTCATAAGGTACACTCAACTAAAGACAAAAAAAAAAAAACCAAAAAAAAGGAAAAAAAAAAAAAAAAAGGGAAAAAAATTCCAAAAACCCCCCCTTTTTGGGGGGGGTTTTTTTTTTGAATTTTTTTTTTTCCCCCCCCTTTGTGGTAAATTTGGGGACGACCAATGCCTTTCCAACATGATGGAGCACCTTGCCATAAGGCAAAAGTGATAACTAAGTTGGCTCGGGGATAAAACATCGACATTTTGGGTCCATGGCCAGGAAACTCCCCAGACCTTAATCCCATTGAGAACTGTGGTCGATCCTCAAGAGGCGGGTGGACAAACAAAAACCCACGAATTCTGACAAACTCCAAGCATTATGCAAGAATGGGCTGCCATCAGTCAGGATGTGGCCCAGAAGTTAATTTACAGTATTCCAGGGCGGATTGCAGAGGTCTTGAAAAAGAAGGGTCAACACTGCAAATATTGACTCATAGCATAAACTTAATGTAATGTCAATAAAAGCCTTTGACACTTATAGAATGCTTGTAATTATACTTCAGTATACCATAGTAACATCTGACAAAAATATCTCATTACACTGAAGCAGCAAACTTTGTGAAGACCAATACTTGTGTCATTCTCAAAACAGTGGCTTTCGGAAGTATTCACCCCCCTTGGCATTTTTCCTATTTTGTTGCCTTACAACCTGGAATTAAAATATATTTTTGGGGGATTTGTATCATTTGATTTACACAACATGCCTACCACTTTGAAGATGCAAAATATTTTCTCTTGTGAAACAAACAAGAAATAAGACAAAAAAACAGAAAACTTGAGCGTGCATAACTATTCAAAGTCAATACTTTGTAGAGCTACCTTTTGCAGCAATTACAGCTGCAAGTCTCTTGGGGTATGACTCTATAAGCTTGGCACATCTAGCCACTGGGATTTTTGCCCATTCTTCAAAGCAAAACTGCTCCAGCTCCTTCAAGTTGGATGGGTTCCGCTGGTGTACAGCAATCTTTAAGTCATACCACATATTCTCAATTGGATTGAGGTCTGGGCTTTGACTAGGCCATTCCAAGACATTTAAATGTTTCCCCTTAAACCACTTGAGTCTATTTTTCCGAATATATATATATATATATATATAAAAAAGTAATTAGTCAGCCACCAATTGTGCAAGTTCTCCCACTTAAAAAGATGAGAGAGACCTGTAATTTTCATCATAGGTACACGTCAACTATGACAGACAAATTGAGATTTTTTTTCTCCAGAAAATCACATTGTAGGATTTTTAATGAATTTATTAGCAAATTATGGTGGAAAATAAGTATTTGGTCACCTACAAACAAGCAAGATTTCTGGCTCTCACAGACCTGTAACTTCTTCTTTAAGAGGCTCCTCTGTCCTCCACTCATTACCTGTATTAATGGCACCTGTTTGAACTTGTTATCAGTATAAAATACACCTGTCCACAACCTCAAACAGTCACACTCCAAACTCCACTATGGCCAAGACCAAAGAGCTGTCAAAGGACACCAGAAACAAAATTGTAGACCTGCACCAGGCTGGGAGACTGAATCTGCAATAGGTAAGCAGCTTGGTTTGAAGAAATCAACTGTGGGAGCAATTATTAGGAAATGGAAGATATACAAGACCACTGATAATCTCCCTCGATCTGGGGCTCCACGCAAGATCTCACCCCGTGGGGTCAAAATGATCACAAGAACGGTGAGCAGAAATCCCAGAACCACACGGGGGGGACCTAGTGAATGACCTGCAGAGAGCTGGGACCAAAGTAACAAAGCCTACCATCAGTAACACACTACGCCGCCAGGGACTCAAATCCTGCAGTGCCAGACGTGTCCCCCTGCTTAAGCCAGTACATGTCCAGGCTCGTCTGAAGTTTGCTAGAGTGCATTTGGATGATCCAGAAGAGGATTGGGAGAATGTCATATGGTCAGATTAAACCAAAATAGAACTTTTTGGTAAAAACTCAACTCGTCGTGTTTGGAGGACAAAGAATGCTGAGTTGCATCCAAAGAACACCATACCTACTGTGAAGCATGGGGGTGGAAACATCATGCTTTGGGGCTGTTTTTCTGCAAAGGGACCAGGACGACTGATCCGTGTAAAGGAAAGAATGAATGGGGCCATGTATCGTGAGATTTTGAGTGAAAACCTCCTTCCATCAGCAAGGGCATTGAAGATGAAACGTGGCTGGGTCTTTCAGCATGACAATGATCCCAAACACACCGCCCGGGCAACGAAGGAGTGGCTTCGTAAGAAGCATTTCAAGGTCCTGGAGTGGCCTAGCCAGTCTCCAGATCTCAACCCCATAGAAAATCTTTGGAGTGAGTTGAAAGTCCGTGTTGCCCAGCGACAGCCCCCAAAACATCACTGCTCTAGAGGAGATCTGCATGGAGGAATGGGCCAAAAATACCAGCAACAGTGTGTGAAAACCTTGTGAAGACTTACAGAAAACGTTTGACCTGTGTCATTGCCAACAAAGGGTATATAACAAAGTATTGAGAAACTTTTGTTATTGACCAAATACTTATTTTCCACCATAATTTGCAAATAAATTCATGAAAAATCCTACAATGTGATTTTCTGGATTTTTTCTCCTCATTTTGTCTGTCATAGTTGATGTGTACCTATGATGAAAATTACAGGCCTCTCTCATCTTTTTAAGTGGGAGAACTTGCACAATTGGTGGCTGACTAAATACTTTTTTCCCCCACTGTATGTATGTATGTATGTATGTGTGTGTGTGTGTGTGTGTGTGTGTGTGTATATATATATATATATTTACACAGTGAGGGAGAAAAGTATTTGATCCCCTGCTGATTTTGTACGTTTGCCCACTGACAAATACATGATCAGTCTATAATTTTAATGGTAGGTTTATTTGAACAGTGAGAGACAGAATAACAACAAAAAAATCCAGAAAAATGCATGTCAAAAATGTTATAAATTCATTTGCATTTTAATGAGGGAAATAAGTATTTGACCCCCTCTCAATCAGAAAGATTTCTGGCTCCCAGGTGTCTTTTATACAGGTAACGAGCTGAGATTAGGAGCACACTCTTAAAGGGAGTGCTCCTAATCTCAGCTTGTTACCTGTATAAAAGACACCTGTCCACAGAAGCAATCAATCAATCAGATTCCAAACTCTCCACCATGGCCAAGACCAAATACCTCTCCAAGGATGTCAGGGACAAGATTGTAGACCTACACTAGGCTGGAATGGGCTACAAGACCATCGCCAAGCAGCTTGGTGAGAAGGAGACAACATTTCGGGCGATTCTTCGCAAATGGAAGAAACACAAAAGACCTGTCAATCTCCCTCGGCCTGGGGCTCCATGCAAGATCTCACCTCGTGGAGTTGCAATGATCATGAGAACGGTGAGGAATCAGCCCAGAACTACACAGGAGGATCTTGTCAATGATCTCAAGGTAGCTGGGACCATAGTCACCAAGAAAACAATTGGTAACACACTACGCCGTGAAGGACTGAAATCCTGCAGCGCCCGCAAGGTCCCCCTGCTCAAGAAAGCACATATACAGGGCCGTCTGAAGTTTGCCAATGAACATCTGAATGATTCAGAGGAGAACTGGGTGAAAGTGTTGTGGTCAGATGAGACCAAAATCAAGCTCTTTGGCATCAACTCAACTCGCCGTGTTTGGAGGAGGAGGAATGCTGCCTATGACCCCAAGAACACCATCCCCACCGTCAAACATGGAGGTGGAAACATTATGCTTTGGGGGAGTTTTTCTGCTAAGGGGACAGGACAACTTCACCGCATAAAGGGACGATGGATGGGGCCATGTACCGTCAAATCTTGGGTGAGAACCTCTTTACCTCAGCCATGGCATTGAAAATGGGTCATGGATGGGTATTCCAGCATGACAATGACCCAAAACACACGGCCAAGGCAATAAAGGAGTGGCTCAAGAAGAAGCACATTAAGGTCCTGGAGTGGCCTAGCCAGACCTCAATCCCGTAGAAAATCTATGGAGGGAGCTGAAGGTTCGAGTTGCCAAACGTCAGCCTCGAAACCTTAATGACTTGGAGAAGATCTGCAAAGAGAAGTGGAACAAAATCCCTCCTGAGATGTGTGCAAACCTGGTGGCCAACTACAAGAAACGTCTGACCTCTGTGATTGCCAACAAGGGTTTTGCCACCAAGTACTAAGTTATGTTTTGCAGAGGGGTCAAATACTTATTTCCCTCATTAAAATGCAAATCAATTTATAACATTTTTGACATGTGTTTTTCTGGATTTTTTTGTTGTTATTCTTTCTCTCACTGTTCAACTAGACCTACCATTAAAATTATAGACTGATCATGTCTTTGTCAGTGGGCAAACGTACAAAATCAGCAGGGGATCAAATACTTTTTTCCCTCACTGTATATATATATATATACAGTGGGGAGAACAAGTATTTGATACACTGCCGATTTTGCAGGTTTTCCTACTTACAAAGCATGTAGAGGTCTGTAATTTTTTATCATAGGTACACTTCAACTGTGAGAGACCATGGTAGCAAGATCTTATCTATTTTTGCTAACTTTCTATTAAAATGTATTGGAGTGAGATCATTTATTTCATTTGGGATATGTATTCCGAGTATATCCACATCATTATGCACTATAGCCTATTTATTGCCTTACCTCCATAACTTGCTACATTTGCACACACTGTATATAGATTTTCTGTTGTATTTTTGACTTTGTTTTATTTTACCCCATATGTAACTCTGTGTTGTTTTTATCGCACTGCTTTGCTTTATCTTGGCCAGGTCGCAGTTGTAAATGAGAACTTTTTCTCAACTGGCTTACCTGGTTAAATAAAGGTGAAATAAAAAATAAAAATCACCATCAGACCATTTTATTGGTGAAACTACATGGTAATGTAACATTTTTATTTTTTAGTGATCCAATACGTAATATAGTACATCTATCATAATTTGGTTGTAATCCAAACAGGTTAGAAATGTATCTAGATCCTCTATGAGGCTGTGGAGGGATACAAGTTGTGGATTTAAAAGAAAATATGAATCATCAGCGTACAATGACACCTTTGTTTTTAAGCCCTGGATTTCTAATCCTTTGATATTATTGTTGGATCTGATTTTAATAGCTAACATCTCGATGGCCATACTAAATAGATATGCCGATAGTGGACATCCTTGTTTCACTCCTCTTGACAGTTTAAAACTTTCGGAGAAATAGCCATTATTTACTATTTTACACCTAGGGTTACTATACATGATTTTAACCCATTTAATAAGAGATTCTCCAAAATTGAAATGCTAAAGGCATTTATATATAAATCCCAATTGTACTTTATCAAATGCCTTTTCGAAGTCTGCTATGAATAGCAGGCCTGGTTTCCCAGATTTTTCATAGTGTTCTATTTTTTCCAGTACTTGCCTTATATTATCTCCAATGCATCTTCCATGTAAAAAACCTGTATGATTAGAATGAATAATGTCCGACAATACCTTTTTAATTCTATGAGCTATACATTTTGCTAGAATTTTTCCATCACAACACTGAAGTGTAAGGGGCCTCCAATTTTTTTAATGGACTGGATCTTTGTATTTTCCACTTGTATCCTGTTTCAGTAATAATGAAATCAGACCTTCTTCTTGAGTGTCTGATAATCTACCATTTACATAGGAGTGGTTAAAACATGCTAATAACTGTCCTCTGAGTATATCAAAAAAAGGTTTGGTATACCTCGACTGGTATGCCATCCAACCCTGGAGTTTTCCCGGACTTAAAGTCTTTAATTGCATCCAGAAGTTCCTCCTCTGTAATTTCACTTTCACATGAGTCTTTCTGTATGGCTGTTAATTTAACATTATCAATAGAAAAAAATCTCTACAATTAACTTCAGTTAGAGGAGATGGAGGCGACTGAAACGAAAACATATGCGTAAAGTACTTTGTTTCTTCCTTCAAAATATAATTTGGTGAATCATGGGTGACTCCGTCATTTGTAACCAGTTTCAGTACATTCCTTTTGGTAGCATTCCTATGCTGAAGATTAAAAAATAATTTGGTGAATTTTTCCCCATATTCCATCCAGTTTGCTTTATTTTTATAATATATTACACTTGATCTTTCTTGAATAAGTTTCTCAATTTCTTTTTGTTTTCCTCTCATTTATTCTGAGCCTCTATGTTACAGTTTTTATTGCTATCTATCTGTTCTGTTAGACCTTCTATTTCCTTTGTTAGTATGGACTCTTTTGACCTAAATTGCTTTTGTTTTCGAGATGAGTACTGAATTGCATGGCCTCTAAAGGCACATTTAAAGGTGTCCCATACAATAAGGGGATTTGCTGTACCTAAGTTATGTCTGAAAAAATCTGTTATGAATTCCTCTGTCCTAGTTAAAAACAAGTTATCATCCAATAGGCTTTGATTAAATCTCCAATATCCTTGCCCACGTGGAAATTCAGTAAGAGTAATGTATATGGCAATTATATGATGGTCCGGCCGCATTCTGTCCCCTATCAACACTTTTTAAACTTTTGGTACCAACGAGAATGACATAAGAAAGAAGTCAAGTAGACTAGCTTGATTGAGTCTCCGCCATGTATATCTCACTAAATCAGGATATTTAAGCCTCCATATATCTACTAGTTCTAATGTATCCATGACATTCATGATTTCCTTAAGAGCATGAGGGTGATTGTTTGTAGTGTGACTTCCTTTACGGTCCATTGAGCTATTTAAAACAGTATTTTAATCTCCCACCATAATACTAGAGTCTTGAATTGCTTGCAGGGTTGATAATGTATTATATATATTGTCAAAGAAGTGTGGATCATCATTATTTGGTCCGTAAAGGTTAATGAGTGTTGCTTTAGCAGTATGCTTAGGGTCATTGTCCTGCTGGAAGGTGAACCTCCGTCCCAGTCTCAAATCTCTGGAAGACTGAAACAGGTTTCCCTCAAGAATTTCCCTGTATTTAGCGCCATCCATCATTCCTTCAATTCTGACCAGTTTCCCAGTCCCTGCCGATGGAAAAACATCCCCACAGCATGATGCTGTTCTCGGGGTGATGAGAGGTGTTGGGTTTGCGCCAGACATAGCATTTTCAAAAAGCTCAATTTTAGTCTCATCTGACCAGAGTACCTTCTTCCATATTTTTGGCGAACACCAAACGTGTTTGCTTATTTTCTTCTTTAAGCAATGGCTTTTTTCTGGCCACTCTTCTGTAAAGGCCAGCTCTGTGGAGTGTACGGCTTAAAGTGATCCTATGGACAGATACTCCAATCTCCGCTGTGGAGCTTTGCAGCTCCTTCAAGGGTCACTTTGTTGCCTCTCTGATTAATGCCCTCCTTTCCTGGTCCGTGAGTTTTGGTGGGCGGCCCTCTCTTGGCAGGTTTGTTGTGGTGCCATATTCTTTCAATTTTTTTATAATGGAATTAATTGTGCTCGGTGGGATGTTCAAAGTTTTGGATATTATTTTATAACCCAACCCTGATCTGTACTTCTCCACTACTTTGTCCCTGACCTGTTTGGAGAGCTCCACTTTTGATAAACAGGGCAAAATAGAAATTGGCCTTAAACAGTTAGGATCAGCTTGACCTCCCCCTTTAAATAAAGAACGCACCATGGCTGCCTTCCAAGCATTGGGAACCTCCCCAGAGAGGAGAGACAGGTTAAAAGATCAGAGATAGGCTTGGCGATGATAGGGGCAGCAACCTTAAAGAAGAAATGATCTAAACCATCTGACCCAGATGGTTTTTAGGGATCAAGTTTAAGGAGCTCCTTTAGCACCTCAGACTCAGTGACGGCCTACAGGAAGAAGCTTTGTAGCGGGGCAGGGGAAAAAGAGGGAGGAGCATCGGGGCTAGTCGCATTAGAAGTGGTGGGAGATGAGGAAATGTAGGACAGGCAAGGAGGCATGGCTGAGTCCAATAGGAATCCTGACTTAATGAATTGGTGATTAAAGAGCTCAGCCATGTGCTCTTTGTCAGTAACAACCACATCATCAACATTAAGGGACATGGGCAGCTGTGAGGAGGAGGGTTTATTCTCCAGGTCTTTAACCATTTTCCAGAACTTCTTGGGGTTAGACCCACAGAGTGAGAACTGCTCCTTAAAGTAACTAACGTTGGCCTTCCTGATAGCCTGAGTGCACTTATTTCTAATTTGCCTGAACGAGAGCCAGTAATCCTGAGTATGCGTGTGCCGAGCCTTTCACCAAATGGAATTCTTGAGGTGGAGTAAATCTGCCAGATCACGGTCTAACCTGTTTTTTTATTATCCTTTTCTTTATGGGGGCGTGTTTGTTAACAATACCGCTGAAAATATATGCATGTACATACAGTACATTTGCATGTTTGCTCAAATGCTTGAAAATATTCCTGAAATGCATGGCTATGACATCTAGTTTACAGGGGGGCCAAAGTGGTTCCTAATTTTGGCTTCTTAAATGACCCTTTACGTATTGATCAATGGAGATACTATTTTGGGCTACCAAGCCAAAACATTGGCAGTGATATAACTTAAATTCTGATGGTGAGTAAAAATACAAAATGTTTGATTTCATCACATTTTTACATTCTGCCATAAAGAGCACATGTTCAACTTTTTTTCCATCTAAAGAGTTAAAAAAGTTACAATAGTTAGTGCCTCTTCAGCTTAGTTAAATAATGGGGGAAAAAATCAGAGATCGGGGACTAGGTTGTTTTTATAAAACATTTTAATTTGAGTTTTTATCAATTTCAACAAAAACGATACATCGTACAATATGTCAAAGTGTAGGTCTAGATCTTGTGCTTCCAATGAATGGTATTATACGTTTCTACAGTGGATGGTTAGCGGTGTTATGGTGTGTTCGTAACCAAGTGGGAAGTGGAAATTTGCCACATCTAAGAAAAATCTTACTTGAAATGCCCTCCAACTGGTAATTGCTAGTTAAATATTGTGACGGGGAATATATTTAAAAAAACATTTCCAAATACATTTTAAATATATAAAAAATATACAGTATTTACCAAATATACATTCTTTAATGTATTTTACAATGTATTTTTTTCCCGTATGGGATGTTATATCCCTACGAACCACAATGAGGTTCCCTGTACGTACTGTAAAATACATATTTCTGAGTATTGAGTCAAATATACTTTCTAGGCAACATGGTCCCATTAGAATGTCAGAATAGTGACGCTGAACCATTGTAGGTATACTGTATGTCACCTGATCTGTTGGTTTGCTCAAGTATGCTGTTTTCAAATGTAACGCTACCGCAATCCATCAGTATCCAGCTACCGCAATCCATCAGTATCCAGCTACCGCAATCCATCAGTATCCAGACATGTTATTGTTCTAATTCCATTGTTTGATGTTGTCAACATTTCCTGTATACTTCCTGGATATCTTGCATAATTAAATCAGAGCGACATAACAGACTATTACTGGCAACCATTCCAAACCCTGTACTGATGCTCTCATTTCTTTGTACAGGAGTTGAATTTCTTGGGTGAAATGTGTTTTCTGTGCAATACCTTTTTAATCTTCTCTATCTTCACCTTGTCTTTTTGTGCCCAGGAGTGCATTTGAAGTGGGAAGAAAGGGTAGAGGACAAAGAACACTGGGAAACGAGAGGAAGAGAAGAGGAGGAGAAAGATGGAGCCTAGATCTTTAGACCAGTCTGCGACGGTGGATGAGCTGGTGGAAGCGTGCATCCAAGCCTTTGGTCAGTCAGTCTCTTTATTTGTCTATGAGCACTCAAATATACATGCTACTCAATGTCTAAATAAACAACATATACTCTTTGTGCAATCAGAAGAACATTTGCAGGAACAGATTGCAAGGAGAAGAAGATAATAATATACTGTTTTCCGTATGTCCATGCACCACCTGAAGTAGCTCATGTTGTCAGTCTCAAATCAATAATAATTGGTTGTCTTATTTGCAGTAAGACTTCTATAATTTGGCTGAAAGGACGTACAGGGGATGTTAATTAATGAGCAATGCGTCTGTCCTCTTTCAGATGAGACGGGCGCTTTGAGTGACCCCTCCGTAGTGCGCATGTTCCTCATGATGCATCCCTGGTACCTCCCCTCCACCGACATGGCAAAGAAACTACTTCTCAAGTATCCTTCACCATCAGGCACCTGCTTACGGCTTATCACATCTAGTCAGCTACTGTAAGATCAACAGATACTCTTTAAGGTGCCAGTGAATGGAAAGGAAGAGGTAAGATGGATGGAATGTTCCTAGCGTGCAAAACTGGTTGCAATGACGTCTTGTGCGGTCAGGCCATGGTCAGGTTGTATGCTGATTGTAAAAGGACGTTTTTGAAATGTCTTAGTAGATGTTTTATGTACCTTAACGGTTGATCAGATCACAGGAGGAGAGCTGCACTGCTGAGCTCAGGACAAGAATCTGCCACTTGGTGAAGTAAGACACATTCACAATTGCTTTTGTTATTAGGTTGGGGAAGTTTCTTTATTGCTTACCTCTCCCTCACTATCTCTCTCTCTCTCTCTCTCTTTCTATCTCTCTTTCTATCTCTCTTTCGCTTCCCTCCCTACCTATCTCCCTCACTCCCTACCTCCCTACCTCTCTCTCTCTTTCTAGGTACTGGATCAGTGAGTTCCCAGCGGAGTTCAATCTAAACCCAGAGCTGGCAGAGCAGATCAAAGACCTCAAGGACCTCTTGACCACTGAGGGGAATGAGCGCCAGAGTCAGCTCATCGACATCGACAGTGTGTAAGTGTCCCCATGTTACACTTCACTAAAGTGTGTGTGTTTGTGTCTAATGAAGTGTGTCCCCGTTCCACTGTAATTTCTCCCTCCACCAGCTTCCATCAGTGTGTATGTGTCCCCACGCTACACACATTTCAAGTGTATTTGCCGTATAAGAAATACTCATCGGAGCTCTAACAATAAAACAGCATTTAAACAGACGAAAGTTTAGAAAACAGCAGAAAGTTCAGTGCCTATGTTCTCAGGCCGAAGGCTGTGACCTCGCGTTACAGAGCTCCTAAATGACCCGTCCTATTTCCTTTCGGGTCATATGTCTGTCTGTTACCCTGGTATCCCTAGTGGGTCATTAGGGTATAGCTATCGCTATAGGGTGCTTTCATGGGACAGCAGCATTTCATAAACAGTTGTATTTTTTCTCTTGCATCTTCTGTAGTGTCTTCTATCTTCTTTCATTGCAGAGATTTGGTTCAGCAAGCTGTATTTTCTTAGCCTGGAATGCAAAATGTTTCAGAAACATAGTGAAACAGAGCAATATTACGTTTGGATTCCAGGTTTGCATTTTGTGTGCTTGGCTCATACATGACAGTGACCATATGTGCTTTTTGTCCCTCTCAGGCCGTCATACAAGTGGAAGCGTCAGGTGACCCAGAGGCAGCCATCCATGTCTAAGAAGAGGAAGATGTCTCTGCTGTTTGACCACCTGGACTCCAGTGAGCTTGCCACACACCTCACTTACCTGGAGTACAAGTCCTTCTGCAAGATACTGGTATGTGGGGCTGTGGGGAGTAGTGTGTCTGTCCCCCAGAACTGGGTTGAAATAGTATTTTTTTTCTTTCAAATTCTTAAACCTGCACTTGACTGAGCTTGGCTAGCTGAATGGAACTAATGGAATATTCCCAAAAGTGCAAATCCCATCCACCTGGCACTCCAGGCAGGCTCAATTAAACACTCAAAGTATTTGAAAGAAAATACATACTGTTTGAACCCAGGTCTGCTGTCCAAACTGCCTTTGCATTGCTCATTCAACATGGGACTTATCCTTACTTACAGTGGGGGAAAAAAAGTATTTAGTCAGCCACCAATTGTGCAAGTTCTCCCACTTAAAAAGATGAGAGAGGCCTGTAATTTTCATCATAGGTACACGTCAACTATGACAGACAAAATGAGAAAAAAAAATCCTGAAAATCACATTGTAGGATTTTTCATGAATTTATTTGCAAATTATGGTGGAAAATAAATATTTGGTCAATAACAAAAGTTTCTCAATACTTTGTTATATACCCTTTGTTGGCAATGACACAGGTCAAACGTTTTCTGTAAGTCTTCACAAGGTTTTCACACACTCTTGCTGGTATTTTGGCCCATTCCTCCATGCAGATCTCCTCTAGAGCAGTGATGTTTTGGGGCTGTCGCTGGGCAACACAGACTTTCAACTCCCTCCAAAGATTTTCTATGGGGTTGAGATCTGGAGATTGGCTAGGCCACTCCAGGACCTTGAAATGCTTCTTACGAAGCCACTCCTTCGTTGCCCGGGCGGTGTGTTTGGGATCATTGTCATGCTGAAAGACCCAGCCACGTTTCATCTTCAATGCCCTTGCTGATGGAAGGAGGTTTTCACTCAAAATCTCACGATACATGGCCCCATTCATTCTTTCCTTTACACGGATCAGTCGTCCTGGTCCCTTTGCAGAAAAACAGCCCCAAAGCATGATGTTTCCACCCCCATGCTTCACAGTAGGTATGGTGTTCTTTGGATGCAACTCAGCATTCTTTGTCCTCCAAACACGACGAGTTGAGTTTTTACCAAAAAGTTCTATTTTGGTTTCATCTGACCATATGACATTCTCCCAATCCTCTTCTGGATCATCCAAATGCACTCTAGTAAACTTCAGACGGGCCTGGACATGTACTGGCTTAAGCAGGGGGACACGTCTGGCACTGTAGGATTTGAGTCCCTGGCGGCGTAGTGTGTTACTGATGGTAGGCTTTGTTACTTTGGTCCCAGCTCTCTGCAGGTCATTCACTAGGTCCCCCCGTGTGGTTCTGGGATTTTTGCTCACCGTTCTTGTGATCATTTTGACCCCACGGGGTGAGATCTTGCGTGGAGCCCCAGATCGAGGGAGATTATCAGTGGTCTTGTATGTCTTCCATTTCCTAATAATTGCTCCCACAGTTGATTTCTTCAAACCAAGCTGCTTACCTATTGCAGATTCAGTCTTCCCAGCCTGGTGCAGGTCTACAATTTTGTTTCTGGTGTCCTTTGACAGCTCTTTGGTCTTGGCCATAGTGGAGTTTGGAGTGTGACTGTTTGAGGTTGTGGACAGGTGTCTTTTATACTGATAACAAGTTCAAACAGGTGCCATTAATACAGGTAACGAGTGGAGGACAGAGGAGCCTCTTAAAGAAGAAGTTACAGGTCTGTGAGAGCCAGAAATCTTGGTTGTTTGTAGGTGACCAAATACTTATTGTCCACCATAATTTGCTAATAAATTCATTAAAAATCCTACAATGTGATTTTCAGTATTTTATTTTCTCATTTTGTCTGTCATAGTTGACGTGTACCTATGATGAAAATTACAGGCCTCTCTCATCTTTTTAAGTGGGAGAACTTGCACAATTGGTGGCTGACTAAATACTTTTTTCCCCCACTGTATTTGACCTCTCAGCTTCCCTATCAAATCAAAAAATCTCTAACAGAAATCCGAAGAAAAGTAACAACAATGACAAATGGTTTGATGAAGAATGCAAAAACCTAAGAAAGAAATTGAGAAACCTATCCAAACAAAAACATAGAGACCCAGAAAACCTGAGCCTACGCCTTCACTATGGTGAATCACTAAAACAATACAGAAATACACTATGGAAAAATAAGGAACAGCATGTCAGAAATCAGCTCAATGTAGAAGAAAATTACAGGCCTCTCTCATCTTTTTAAGTGGGAGAAATTGCACAATTGGTGGCTGACTAAATACTTTTTTCCCCCACTGTATATGCGAGTTTAACAGCTTCTGTATGCCCACTGAATACATTACAATCCCCCCCCCCCCCCCCACCCAGTTCCAGGACTACCACAGCTTTGTGATGCATGGCTGCACGGTGGACAACCCCATCCTGGAGCGCTTCATCACACTCTTCAACAGTGTGTCTCAGTGGATCCAACTCATGGTGCTCAGCAAGCCCACCGCCCCCCAGAGGGCTGCAGTCATCTCCCACTTCATCAGGGTGGCTCAGGTATGTAGGCTGGGGCAGATTGGAGTTGGAGTTTTCCTTATATTATTCAATCTTGTTCTGAGGGAAGCTATTAGCCTGAGTGCCAGACTGTTTGTGCTATCATGTCAATGCCTTGTCACGCATTGTCATGTTTGGCTTCACAATGACAGCAATGGAGTTGGCAAGAGCACAAACAGATCTGGGACCAGGCTAGGAAGCTCTGTCTCGAAGGGCCGAAGCAAATGTGACTAGTTAATAGGCAAGTAATGTGAGTGGTTAAATTCAGGCAAGTAATCCCAATGGGTTATGGTTAGGGTATGGTTAGGGTTATGGTTAGGGTAAGGGGTTGAGTCCTGGTCCACTTAGAGCAGGGACATGGATTGGAGTTAAGCCTCAGGGGTTGAGATGAGACAGAGGAGTTCTGTCATGGAGAGGAATAGAAAGGGAGATGAGGATATGGACAGAGATTGGATAGATACCAAAATACCCTTACACAAAACCGCGGGTTACGCTTCAGGTATTATGAACTGTGTTCATATACAATTACTGCCCGTTATTCCTAACAGAAGTTATCCAAGTGTGCTTATCAGTAGTGTTATTTTCTCAGTACTACTACTACCAGAAGGGAGGCTATATTTGGATTTGTTAGAGAATAATGTTTAGAAGAGTGTTTGGAGTGTGCCTCCCTCATTCCCCAACGCCACTCTCTTCTCTCCTCTCCAAAACAAACTCTTCATGATTTATTCACTGACGCCGCAGCAGGCTCACACCCCTCCTTTCCCACCCCCTCTCTCTCACCTCTCCTCTGCCAAATATGCCCAAGCTCAAATATCCCAGCTGGATGCTAGCTAGCTAGTTTAGCACCCCGACTGAGTTTGCTAAATAAAACACTTTGCCTTCCGAAATTCGAAGGATCAAATAATTATTTTGGATTGTGAGAAGAGAAAGAGATGCCCAAATACATACCCGGCTGAAAGTTGGGTGGGTGTATTTTCCAAAGCTGTGATCCCGCTCCAATAGACCCCAGGGAAGGGTTACCTCTCCTTCTTCCTGCTTCCTCCCTCTCTCCTTTCACCCCTCCCTCCTCTTTCACTCTATTCTTATCCTCCCTACCACAGAAGTATTCCTCTATTCATTTATCTTCTGATTTATTCAGTGTTTTGGATGAATTAGCTACTTTTCTCTGTAGTCTCTGCCTTATTTTCTATATTCTATCTCCCCTAACGTCTCTGTATAATCCATAGGCTTTTACCCATACAACCCTTTTTATTTGTTATCATATTGCTTGCCAGTATTTCCCATTACACATCAGATATTGTATATGTCAGTCATTAAGTAGTTTGTTACAATGCCTCACACACACAGCCCAAATGCAGAACATAACTTATCCCACACAGTGGAAAGCTTCGGCATATCGACAAGAGACCCTGATATTCCCTGTGCTATTGATACCTGTCACTGCTAGTCAGTGTCACTGTTAGTCAGTCTTTATACAGCAGTTTAGTAGAGCCTCCAGCCTGCAAGGCTGCCACAGAGCTTTTCCCATTGATTGGAGCGACCGGGCGGGTATTTGAGCTTAACCAAATGATGCCCGCTGGCAGTCCTCCCAAACAGCTGCGACCCCATAGATTTTCACTGGATACCATGTGGGCTGAAGGGCAAAGCTTTGCCCCTGCGGAGCTCCATTCACAAAGTATTACTGCAACTGTGAGACAATGATTATAACTTGTTTGCTGCTCTGCCTACTGTTTGAATGGAATTATTAGACTAGACCCTGCAATATTCTAGTGTAGCGAAGGAGTGCCTCTTATTGCTTCAGTTTGTGTGGGTTAGCTGGTGTGTGTGTGTGTGTGTGTGTGACCTTCCCAGGATTTGAGTTGTGTCTATCTCCTGGTTTATTGTGTGCCTCAAATTTCATCCAATTATTTTGTTTTCCCTCACAGAGAAAATAGACTCTCTCTCTCTCTCTCTCTCTCTCTCTCTCTCTCTCTCTTTCTCTCATATATCTCCAACATCACTGTTTATAACTAGCTTGCTCCTCTTCTGACTCATGTCTCTCTCTCTGAATCTTTACATTTTTCTGTCTGTTAATCATTTTGGAATTCAGGTACAGTAGGTCTCTGTGCTTAGCAAACTAAGGTAAGTAGGAGGGGTGCTCAACAACTAAGATATCTTTCTCCTTATCCACCTATTCTCTCCCTCTCCTCCTATAGAAACTGCTCGAGCTTCAGAACTTCAACACTCTGATGGCCGTAGTGGGGGGGCTCAGTAACAGCTCTATATCTCGTCTCAAAGACACCCAGTCACACATCAGCAACGAGACCGACAAGGTAAACTAACATCTCATGCTTTATCTACACTTCATGTTATCACTCTACAAACAGCCTGGTGTTACCACGACAATTACTATCTGAAAACATCACCTCGCGTCATAAAACCGAAAGGATTTAGAGAAGTGATTCTGTTATCATAGATTGTGTGTATGTATTGATATGTAGGCTACATGTGCCTTTAAAAAAAATGTATGTAGTTCTGTCCTTGAGCTGTTCTTGTCTATTAATGTTCTGTATTATGTCATGTTTCATGTTTTGTGTGGACCCCAGGAAGAGTAGCTGCTGCTTTTGCAACAGCTAATGGGGATCCTAATAAAATACAAAAAAATACCAAATCACAGCCCCATCCTTCCTCTCTTGTCTTCCTCTTCTCCTTCACACCTCCCTCATCCATCCATCCATCCCCTCAGGTGTTCAACAGCCTGATCGAGCTGGTGACGTCTTGCAGCAACTACAGCCAGTACCGACGTCGTTTCTCCGAGTGCACAGGCTTCCGTTTTCCTATTCTGGGCGTGCACCTCAAGGACCTGATCGCTGTGCACGTGGCGCTGTCCGACTGGGCCGACCCAGACAAGAGCAGGGTCAACCTGACCAAGTGCCAACAGCTGTATGCCATCCTCCAGGAGCTGGCGCTGATCCAGACCACGCCACCCAGCATCGATGCCAACACAGACCTTCTTAACCTACTTACGGTTAGTGTCACACAGCCTGGTCCCAGATCTATTTGTGCTGTCTTGCCAAGTTTGCAGTGACAATGACCATAGGAGTTGGCAAAACAGCACAAACAGATCTGGGCCCATGCTAGATTCATATTCAAAATAAATTAAATGTGTTTGACATTCCCGGTAAATGAGGGGTGGGGCTGTTTCTCATGTATCATTGTATCTATGTTTTCATTTTACAGTTATTCAACCTTTACTCTTATACCATGTTTGTTTGTTTGTTTGTTTATTTATCTGTTATAGATTTTATCTGGATGTAACCTTTATTGATCGGTGGTTTTCCAGGTTACTGTCATTGAGATAAACTGCTGGCCTAAGATGGCAGAAGGAGGATGATTCGTTAAAAAATTATAACTTTTTTACACACTGATATATAATCTGTCAACAAATCTCTCAAATCTCTGGCAGTTATGTGTTACCATGGTGAACTACAGAGCATACAAGAATATGCATAATTGACAGTAAAATAATATGGTTATGTATGCAGGAGTTACCTTCAGTTAGGGACTTCCAAGAAAATGTTAACGAGAGAGAGGTTGGAGCTTAATTGGCAGTTAAGAATGCATATTAATCCTTTGAGAGAGAGAGAGAGACATCAGCAACATACTAATACAGCAATCTACCACAAATGAATGGAATCAATGATAGCGTGTGGCTAAGAGGAGGACTGTCACTCAAAATTAGGGAATAAATTGAAAGTGACCTGTGGGAGTCCAAGGATGGAGAGGGAGCTTGATGGCCTAATATGATTTGCAAATTCCAATAGGTACCACTGGGAAATAGCTAATGACTACCTCGAATGGGGATTCAGGTTTCTGCTATTCAAATTAATTCCCACTCCTGTTCCTCTGATGATAAAGCTTATTTTACACCGTTAGACTGTGATATTGCCATATCATTTCCATTCCAGTGAAAAGTAATAGTGAATACCCTATCATGATTCCTGTGTGTTCTTCTGCTGTTTTGGCTAAGATCCAAAGGTGTACTGCACTCTGGCTTGCACAGTGAAAAACGATTCTCTCTTTCTGGTTTTCACCTACCCAGTGGGTAAAACTGGTTGACTCAATGTTGTTACCATTTAAATTCAACACCCAAAAACAATGTGAGGACGTTGAATCAACGTGGAAAAAATGATTGGATTTGCAAAAAGTCATAACATAAGGGCATTTGGTGTTTTTTTTTCACCAAGCTCTTAACCTAAATCCAATGACATGGTGACATTTGTGTTGATTTCATGTTGCGTTCACGTTAGTTGACAACTCAACCAAATGTAAATCAAATCTAGACATTGAACTGATGTATGTGTCTAGTGGGTAGTCTCTTTTTCTCTCTCTCACTCTTTCTCTCACTTTCACTCTCTCACTCACTCAGTCTCTTACTCACTCATTCATTCATTCTCTCACTCACTCTCTCTCTCTCTCTCTCTCTCTCTCTCTCTCACTCACTCACTCACTCACTCACTCACTCTCTCACACACATACATTCTTAATTGCCATTCATGATTCAACTTCACCTGACACCCACTTCCTATTGGGATATGTAAAGGTTGATTTCCTGTCAAGTTCCTTTATTAGCCCGGTTATCTAGAGGGAGATCGATACCGCCAGTCGCTGTGTGTGTGTGCGCTGTTTGAGTCCCCCCCCCCTTTTTGCCCTCAGAACAGCCTCAATTTGTCGGGGGCATGGACTCTACATGGTGTCGAAAGCGTTCCATAGGGATGCTGGCCCATGTTGAATCCAATGCTTCGCACAATTGTGTCCAGTTGGCTGGATGTCCTTTGGGTTGTGGACCATTCACACGGGAAACTGTTGATTGTGAAAAACCCAGCAGCGTTGCAGTTGACACCTACAGCCTGGCACCTACTACCATACCCCCTCCAAAGGCACTTAAATATTTTGTGTTGCCCAGTCACCCTCTGAATGGCACAAATACACAATCCATGTCTCAATTGTCTCAAGGCTTAAAAATAATTATTTAACCTGTCTCCTCCCCTTCATCTACACTGATTGAAGTGGATTTAATAAGGGATCATAGCTTTCACCTGGTCAGTCTATGTCATGGAAAGAGAAGGTGTTCCTAATGTTTTGTACACTCAGTGTATACACTACATGACCAAAAGTATGTAGACACCTGCTCAGCGCACATCTCATTCCAAAATCATGGGCATTAATATGGAGTTGGTCCCCCCTTTGCTGCTATAACAGCCTTCACTCTTCTGGGAAGGCTTGTCACTAGATGTTGGAACATTTCTGCAGGGACTTGCTTCCATTAAGCCACGAGCGTTAGTGAGGTCGGGCGATTAGGCCTGACTCGCAGTCGGCGTTCCAATTCATCCCAAAGGTGTTCGATGGGGTTGAGGTCAGGGTTCTGTGCAGGCCAGTTAAGTTCTTCCACACCGATCACGACAAACCATTCTGTATGGACCTCGCTTTGGGCACGGGGGCATTGACATGCTGAAACAGGAAAGGGCTTTCCCCAAACTGTTGCCACGAAGTTGGAAGCATAGAATCGTCTAGAATGTCATTGTATGCTGCAGCGTTAAGATTTCCGTTCACTGGAACCATGAAAAACCATGAAAAACAGCCCCAGACCATTATTCCTCCTCCCCTAAACTTTACAGTTGGCACTATGCATTCGGGCAGGTAGCGTTCTCCTGGCATCCGCCAAACCCAGATTAATCTGTCAGACTGCCAGATGGTGAAGCGTGATTCATCACTCCAGAGAACGGGTTATTTACACCACTCCATGGTATTCCTAGACTTGTGTGCGGCTGCTCGGCCATGGAAACCCATTTCATGAAGCTCTCGATGAACAGTTATTGTGCTGAAGTTGCTTCCAGAGGCAGTTTGGAACTCGGTAGTGAGTGTTGCAACCGAGGACAGACAGTTTTTACGTGCTACGCGCTTCAGCACTCTGCGGTCCTGTTCTGTGAGCTTGTGTGGCCTACCACTTCGCGGCTGAGCCTTTGCTCCTAGATGTTTCCACTTCACAATAACAGTAGTTACAGTTGACCGGGACACCTCTAGCAGGGCAGAAATGTTGACGAACTGACTTGTTGGAAAGGTGGCATCCTATGACGGTGACACGTTGAAAGTCACTGAGCTCTTCAGTAAGACCATTCTACTGCCAATGTTTGTCTATGGAGATTGCATGGCTGTGTGCTCGATTTTATAAACCTGTCAGCAATTTGAAGGGGTGTCCACATACTTTTGTATATATATCGTAAGGTTTTTGTGCGTATGGAACATTGGACCAACACTTTACATGTTGCGTTTATATTTTTGTTCAGTGTAGCTTTTGGTTTATAGCGCAGGGGAATACACCTGAAAACAGTTCAGTGAAACTACAGTGCAGCGTTGTTATCAGCCTACTGTTTCCACTTTTGTATATATACAATTATACACAACAAGTAGAATAATCAGGCAACAGTTGAGAAAATAAATTTTCAAGGCCTCATGTGAATGACATGGAGGGAGCTATTGTGTGTCTAATATTATGACAGGCCAAATCTGCAGCAATATCTACTGTCTACGTTTTGCCCTAAAATAATGCAGATTTTCTCCTGAACAGGTAGTTCAACAAATCCGTTCGTTCTTCATATTTCAGTAGATAAGTACCTCTGAGTCATATGTGGAGCAGTGGAGTAGAACATGCTGCTCATTCTCTAGTTCACCCGAGCCACAGTGTTTACATAGTCTTTCTTCTCTGACCGTCCATGTTTTTCAATGGCGTCCTGTCTCTAAGGCCAGGCTAAGGTCACAGAGTATTTACATTGTTAATGTCTTCCTTTGTTTGAATTCTTTGATCTTGATTAGGTGTTGTGCTCTTTTGATATCTGTATTTATAATTTGGTAACATTGAAGTTTGTGATTTAAATAGAATTTTGTTTAGCCAATAATTAGTGTATGCATTTTGGTTATAGATTTCTATTTGTTAGAATTTTGTTATTGATGGTTGAGGGTTGCAGTGTTTGCATGAGAAAGCTTTGTGATGATAACATTCTGGATCACAGTGTGTATATTTGTACAAAATGCCAGGTGTAACATTTCGGTAGGGCTTTTAACCAATGATGTATATTTTACATTGGAAAGGGGTCCCCAAAATGTGCTGCCATATAGCAGGATTTAAGTTACAGTTGAAGTCGGAAGTTTACATCCACTTAGGTTGGAGTCATTCAAACTAGTTTTTCAACCACTCCACAAATGTCTTGTTAACAAACTAGTTTTGGCAAGTCGGTTAGGACATCTACTTTGTGCATGACACAAGTAATTTTTCCAACAATTGTTTACAGACAGATTATTTCACTTATAATTCACTGTATCACAATGCCAGTGGGTCAGAAGTTTACATACACTAAGTTGACTGTGCCTTTAAACAGCTTGGAAAATTCCAGAAAACGATATCATGGCTTTAGAAGCTTTTGATAGGCTAATTGACACCATTTGAGTCAATTGGAGGTGTACCTGTGGATGTATTTCAAGGCCTACCTTCAAACTCAGTGCCTCTTTGCTTGACATGGGAAAATCTAAAGAAATCAGCCAAGACCTCAGAAAATAAATTGTAGACCTCCACAAGTCTGGTTCATCCTTGGGAGCAATTTCCAAACGCCTGAAGGTACCACGTTCATCTGTACAAACAATAGTATGCAAGTATAAACACCATGGGACCACGACGCTGTCATACCGCTCAGGAAGGAGACGCGTTCTGTCTCCTAGAGATGAACGTACTTTGGTGCGAAAAGTGCAAATCAATCCCAGAACAACAGCAAAGGACCTTGGGAAGATGCTGGAGGAAACAGGTACAAAAGTATCTATATCCACAGTAAAACGAGTCCTATATCGACATAACCTGAAAGGCCACTCAGCAAGGAAGAAGCCATTGCTCCAAAACCACCATTAAAAAGCCAGACTACGGTTTGCAACTGCACGTGGGGATAAAGATCATACTTTTTGGAGAAATGTCCTCTGGTCTGATGAAACAAAAATAGAACTGTTTGGCTATAATGACCATCGTTATGTTTGGAGGATAATGGGGGAGCTTGCAAGCCGAAGAACACCATCCCAACCGTGAAGCACGTGGGTGGCAGCATCATGCTGTGGGGGTGCTTTGCTGCAGGAGGGACTGGTGCACTTCACAAAATAGATGGCATCATGAGGAAGGAAAATTATGTGAAATATATTTAAGCAACATCTCAAGACATCAGTCAGGAAGTTAAAGCTTGGTCGCAAATGGGTCTTCCAAATGGACAATGACCCCAAGCATACTTCCAAAGTTGTGGCAAAATGGCTTAAGGACGACAAAGTCAATGTATTGGAGTGGCCATCACAAAGACCTGGCCTCAATCCTATAGAATATGTTAGGGCAGAACTGAAAAAGCGTGTGCGAGCAAGGAGGCCTGACTCAGTTACACCAGCTCTGTCAGGAGGAATGGGCCAAAATTCACCCAATTTATTGTGGGAAGCTTGTGGAAGGCTACCCAAAACATTTGACCCAAGTTAAACAATTTAAAGGCATTGCTACCAAATACTAATTGAGTGTATGTAAACTTCTGACCCACTGGGAATGTGATGAAAGACATAAAAGCTGAAAGAATTCTATTATTCTGACATTTCCCATTCTTAAAATAAAGTGGTGATCCTAACTGGCCTAAGACAGGGAATTTTTACTAGGAGTAAATGTCAGGAATTGTGAAAAACTGAGTTTAAATGTATTTGGTTAAGGTGTATGTAAACTTCCGACTTCAACTGTATGAAGGACTAAAATTATTTAAGCCAAATTCTAATTGGTGGGTTGAATATGTACAGGGTATTTTTTATTGCAAAATATGCTCTATGTACTTTCTTTTTGTTATTAGAAACTGACAGTCATTAATGAGTTGAAGGGCACCTGTGGAAGTTTGCTTAGAAGTGGTCGATACTCAATCATATAATTCCCTGGCTTTATACAGTTTATTCAACTTCAGCTTAGTTTGGACAGGTGTTGGAAGATGAAGTTAAAAAGTCAATCTGTCTGTGAAACCATGGCAATACGGTTTACTGTGGAGAGCCAATGTTAACTCACCAAATAGGCTTTAAGCCTTCTGGTCCAATCAATATATTTCTCTAGGTTTATTAATTAATTCATTAACCTTAAAAATAAAATGATTCCATGATTATGTATTGGATATGAGAGAGAGCTGTATGCCTCTGGAAACAACAATGCATTCCTCTTCTTCGCTCCTCGGTTGTCATGGTATCCACATGCAGTAGCTATATTAATAAAGTTATCATGTGTTGCAGGTGTCTCTGGACCAGTACCACACAGAGGAGGAGATCTACCAGCTGTCTCTACAGAGAGAGCCACGAAGTGCTAAACCAGCGGTGAGAGCTAGGGACCGATAGGGGCCAATGTGTTCTTCCAGCTTATATGAAGCCAATTTTTTCTTATATCTTACAGAAGAAGGTCAATGTGTTCTTATAACTTATATAGGAAGTAAATGTATTCTTCTTATAGCTTATAGGAAACCAATGAATTCTTATTGTATAGCTAATAGGAAACCAATATGTTAATCTTCGCATGTGATTTGAACACTGTTGTTCTCTCATGTTGAACTTTTCCCTTTTATTGCTTCTAGGAAGTCTCTGGAGATCTCTCTAGTTTGGGAACTCTCTCTTCTAAGAACTATCTTTGCTGAAATGACAACAATTTCCGCTTTATAAGTCATTGATTTATTTTCCTGTCTTTTCACTGGTTTGGCAGAACTCCGGCCCTGCCCCTGCTCCTGCCCCCAAGCCCAAGCCATCGATGATTGACGAGTGGGCTGCGTCGGTGAAGCCCAAAGCTGACCCTGCGGTCATCAACAAACACATAGAGAAGATGGTGGACGTACGTTACGCTAAGTGTCTCACATCTAGCCTGGTTGAACCAGATTGAATGCTGTCCTCAATGGTGAGCGCAGCATTTAGTCTGGTTTAACTCACATCCAATTGATGACTAATTACAACTTGTTGAGGCCATGTAATTGGCTTGGAACATAGTAGTTATCCTCACAGCTACCCTTTTATTAATCACAATGAGTCCGAGTCATGACAACCGTAGTACTCTTTGTTTTGATATGCAGTAGTAATGTGTGTTTCCTCGGTTACAGTCTGTCTTCAAGAACTTTGACACGGACGGGGACGGTCACATCTCCAGGGAGGAGTTTGAGATCATCAGGAACAACTTCCCCTACCTCAGCAAGTTTGGAGAACTGGACAAAAACCAGTGAGAGACAAAACCAGCATCTCAGCAACTGTTAACCACAGGCTACATAGCAACAGTCACGTATAACTGATATTGTAACCATATCATATGTAATAGTATCACACAATTAGATCGGGAAGGAGACACATCTTGTTAACCATCTCATTCTCTCTCGCTCTCTCTCTCTGCCCCTCTCTCCATCTCTCTCCCCCCTCCCTTGCCTCTCCCCCCTCCCTTACCTCTCCCCCCTCCCCTTACCTCCCTCCCTCCCTCCCCCCTCCCTTACCTCCCTCTCTCCCCTCCCTTACCTCCCTCACCTCCCTCTCTCCCCTCCCTTACCTCCCTCTCTCCCCCTCCACCTCCCTCCCTCCCCTCACCTCTCTCCCTCCCTCCCTCCCTCTCAATTCAATGGGCTTTATGGGAAACATATGTTAACATTGCCAAAGCAAGTTAAATAGATAAAAAGCAAAAGTGAAATAAACAAATAATAAAAATGAACAGTAAACATTACACTCAAAAGTTCCAAAAGAAGAAAGACATTTCAAATGTCATTTTATGTCTATATACAGTGTTAAAGTACAAAAGGGAAAATAAATAAACATAAATATAGGTTGTATTTACAATGGTGTTTGTTCTTCACTGGTTGCCCTTTTCTTATGGCAACAGGTCACAAATCTTGCTGCTGTGATGGCACACTGTGATATTTCACCCAATAGATATGGGAGTTTATCAAAATTGGATTTGTTTTCGAATGCTTTGTGGGTCTGTGTAATATGAGGGAAGTATATGTCTCTAATATGGTCATACATTTGGCAGGAGGTTAGGAAGTGCAGCTCAGTTTCCACCTCATTTTGTGGGCAGTGTGCACATAGCCTGTCTTCTCTTGAGAGCCAGGTCTGCCTACGGCGGCCTTTCTCAATAGCAAGGCTATGCTCACTGAGTCTACATAGTCAAACGCTTAAGTCACAGTGGTCAGGTATTCTGCCACTGTGTACTCGCTGTTTAGGGCCAAATTGCATTCTTGTAGCCCTGCTACTGTGAGAGGCCGCGTAGACAGATCTGGCTCTCAAGAGAAGACAGGCTATGTGCACACTGCCCACAAAATGAGGTGCTCATTTTTTTGTTAATTCTTTCCAATGTGTCAAGTAATTATCTTTTTATTTTCTCATGATTTGGTTGGGTCTAATTGTGTTGCTGTGCTGGGGCTCTGTGGGATCTGTTTATGTTTGTGAACAGAGCCCCAGGACCAGCTTGCTTAGGGGACTGTTCTCCAGGTTCATTTATCTGTATGTGATGGCTTTGTTATGGAAGGTTTGGGAATCTCTTCCTTTTAGGTGGTTGTAGAATTTAACGTCTCTTTTCTGGATTTTGTGGTGTTTTACATTGTACACCAAGGATATTTTTTCAGAATTCTGCATGCAGAGTCTCAATTTGGTGTTTGTCCTATTTTGTGAATTCTTGGTTGGTGAGCGGACCACAGACCTCACAGCCATAAAGGGCAATGGGTTCTATAATTGATTCAAGTATTTTTAGCCAGATCCTAATTGGTATGTCGAATTGTATGTTCCTTTTGATGGCAAAGAAGGCCCTTCTTGCCTTGTCTCTCAGATTGTTCACAGCTTTGTGGAAGTTACCTGTGGTGCTGATGTTTAGGCCAAGGTACGTATAGTATTTTGTGTGCTCTAGGGCAACGGTGTCTAGATGGAATTTGTATTTGTGGTCCTGGCAACTGAACCTTTTTTGGAACACCATTATTTTTGTCTTACTGAGATTTACTGTCAGGGCCCAGGTCTGACAGAATCTGTGCAAAAGATCTAGGTGCTGCTGTAGGCCCTCCTTGGTTGGGGACAGAAGCGGCAGATCATCAGCAAACAGTAGTCATTTGACTTCAGATTCTAGTAGGGTGAGGCCGGGTGCTGCATCCTGTTCTAGTGCCCTCGCCAATTCGTTGATGTACAGTGCCTTCAGAAAGTATTCAGACCCCTTGACTTTTTCAACATTTTGTTACGTACCTTACAGATTTTTTTTTACTCCTCAGCAATCTACACACAATGTCCCATAATGACAAATTTTATAGGAAATTTTTGCAAATATATTAAAAATACATAAGTATTCAGACCTTTTGCAATGAGACTCGAAATTGAGCTCAAGTGCATCCTGTTTCCATTGATTATCCTTGAGATGTTTCTACATCTTGATTGGAGTCCACCTGTGGTAAATTCAATTGATTGGACATGATTTGGAAAGGCACACACCTGTCTATATAAGGTCCCACAGTTGACAGTGCATGTCAGAGCAAAAACCAAGCCATGAGGTCGAAGGAATTGTCCGTAGAGCTCCGAGACAGGATTGTGTCAAGGCACAGATCTGGGAAGGGTACCAAAACATTTCTGCAGCATTGAAGGTCCTCAAGAACACAGTGGCCTCCATCATTATTAAATGGAAGAAGTTTGGAACCACCAAGACTCTTCCTAGAGCTGGCCACCCGGCCAAACTGAGCAATCTGGGGGAGAAGGGCCTTGGTCAGGGAGGTGACCAAGAACCCGATGGTCACTCTGTCAGAGCTCCGGAGTTCCTCTGTGGAGATGGGAGAACCTTCCAGAAGGACAACCATCTCTGCAGCACTCCATCAATCAGGCCTTTATGGTAGAGTGACCAGACAGAAGCCACTCCTCAGTGAAAGGCACATGACAGCCCGCTTGGAGTTTGCCAAAAGGCACCTAAAGACTCTCAGACCATGAGAAACAAGATTCTCTGGTCTGATGAAACCAAGATTGAACTATTTTGCCTGAATGCCAAGCGTCACGTCTGGAGGAAACCTGGCACCATCTCTACGGTGAAGCATGGTGGTGGTAGCATCATGCTGTGGGGATGTTTTTCAGCGTCAGGGACTGGGAGACTAGTCAGGATTGAGGCAAAGATGAACGGAGCAAAGTACAGAGAGGTCCTTGATGAAAACCTACTCCAGAGCGCTCAGGACCTCAGACTGGGGCGAAGGTTCACCTTCCAACAGGACAACGACCCTAAGCACACAGCCAAGACAACGCAGGAGTGGTTTCGGAACAAATCTCTGAATGTCCTTGAGTGGCCCAGCCAGAGTCTGGACTTAAACCCCGATCAACATCTCTGGAGAGACCTGAAAATAGCTGTTCAGCAACGCTCCCCATCCAACCTGACAGAGCTTGAGAGGATCTGCAGAGAAGAATGGGAAAAACTCCCCAAATACAGGTGTACCAAGCTTGTAGCGTCATACCAAAGACTTGATGCTGTAATCGCTGCCGAAGGTGTTTCAACAAAGTACTGAGTAAAGGGTCTGAATACTTATGTAAATGTGATATTTCCGTTTTTTTATGTTGAATAAATTAGCAAAATTGTCAACTGTTTTTTGGGGTATTGTGTGTAGATTGATGAGGAAAGAAAAACGATTTAATCAATTTTAGAATAAGGCTGTAACGTAAACAAAATGTGGAAAAAGTCAAGGGGTCTGAATACTTTCCAAATGCACTGTATATGTTGAAGAGGGTGGGGCCCAAGCTGCATCCCTGCTCACCCCACGACCCTGTGGAAAGAAATGTGTGTGTTTTTTACCACACTTGCTGTTTGTGTACATGGATTTTATGTTTTCCCCCAAACACTGCTTTCCATCAATTTGTAGACAATCATGCCAAATTGAGTCAAAAACTTTTTTTTCCATCAACAAAGCATGAGAAGTCTTTGCCTTTTGTTTTGTTTGTTTGTCAATTGGAATTTGTGGTCTGTATTTTTGATCATTTCATTTAGGATACCGTCAACACCACAGGCTATTTTTTGGGTTGGAGGGTTTGTATTTTGTCCTGTAGTTCATTCAATCTAATTGCAGAATCCATTGGGTTCTGGTCGTCATTAATAGTTGATTCTAAGATTTGTATATGATCATGTATATGTTTTTGCTGTTTGTTCTTTGTTATACAGTGAGGGAAAAAATAATGATTTTGTACATTTGTCCACTGACAAAGAAATGATCAGTCTGTAATTTTAATGGTAGGTTTATTTGAACAGTTAGAGACAGAATAACAACAAAAAAAGTCAAACATTTTACAAATTGATTTGCATTTTAATGGGGGAAATAAGTATTTGACCCCTCTGCAAAACATGACTTAGTACTTGGTGGCAAAACCTTTGTTGGCAATCACAGAGGTCAGACGTTTCTTGTAGTTGGCCACCAGGTTTGCACATATCTCAGGAGGGATTTTGTTCCACTCCTTTTTGCAGCTCTTCTCCAAGTCATTTAGGTTTCAAGGCTGACGTTTGGCAACTCGAACCTTCAGCTCCCTCCACAGATTTTCTATGGGATTAAGGTCTGGAGACTGGCTAGGCCACTCCAGGACCTTAATGTGCTTCTTCTTGAGCCACTCCTTTGTTGCCTTGGCCGTGTGTTTTGGGTCATTGTTATGCTGGAATACCCATCCACGACCCATTTTCAATGCCCTGGCTGAGGGAAGGAGGTTCTCACCCAAGATTTGACGGTACATAGCTCCGTCCATCATCCCTTTGATGCGGTGAAGTTGTCCTGTCCCCTTAACAGAAAAACACCCCCAAAGCATAATGTTTCCACCTCCATGTTTGACGGTGGGGATGATGTTCTTGGGGTCATAGGTGCATTCCTCCTCCTCCAAACATGGTGAGATGAGTTGATGCCAAAGAGCTCCATTTTGGTCTCATCTGACCACAACACTTTCACCCAGTTCTCCTCTGAATCATTCAGATGTTCATTGGCAAACTTCAGGACGGCCCTTTATATGTGCTTTCTTGAGCAGGGGGACCTTGCGGGCGCTGCAGGATTTCAGTCCTTCACGGCACAGTGTGTTACCAATTGTTTTCTTGCTGCCTTGAATCATTGACAAGATCCTCCCATGTAGTTCTGGGCTGATTCCTCACCTTTCTCATGATCATTGCAACTCCACGAGGTGAGAACTTGCATGGAGCCCCAGGCCGAGGGAGATTGACAGGTCTTTTGTGTTTCTTCCATTTGCGAATAATCGCACCAACTGTTGTCACCTTCTCATCAAGCTGATTGGCGATGGTATTGTAGCCCATTCCAGCCTTGTGTAGGTCTACAATCTTGTCCCTGACATCCTTGGAGAGCTCTTTGGTCTTGGCCATGGTGGAGAGTTTGGAATCTGATTGATTGATTTCTTCTGTGGACAGGTGTCTTTTATACAGGTAACAAGCTGAGATTAGGAGCACTCCCTTTAAGAGTGTGCTCCTAATCTCAGCTCGTTACCTGTATAAAAGACACCTGGGAGCCAGAAATCTTTCTGATTCAGAGGGGGTCAATTACTTATTTCCCTCATTAAAATGCAAATGAATTTATAACATTTTTGACATGCGTTTTTCTGGATTTGTTTGTTGTTATTCTGTCTCTCACTGTTCAAATAAACCTACCATTAAAATTATAGACTGATCATGTCTTTGTCAGTGGGCAAACGTACAAAATCAGCAGGGGATCAAATACTTTTTTCCCTCACTGTATAGCCAAAAAGATTGGAGAAGTGGTTTATCCGTACATCTCCGATTTTTGGATAGATAACTCTTGTGTGGTTGTTTGTTTAGTGTTTTCCGAGTGGTTAGATTCTATGGATTCTTCAATTACATTGAGATTATTTCTGATGTGCTGTTCCTTTTTCCGTAGTGTAGTTCTGTATTGTTTTAGTGATTCACCATAGTGAAGGCGTAGGCTCAGGTTTTCTGGGTCTCTATATGTTTTTGTTTGGATAGGTTTCTCAATTTCTTTCTTAGGTTTTTGCATTCTTCATCAAACCATTTGTCATTGTTGTTAATTTTCTTTGGTTATCTGCTTAATTTTTTGATTAGACAGGGAAGCTGAGAGGTCAAATATACTGTTTAGGTTTTCTACTACCAAGTTTACTCCTTCACTATTACAGTGTAATGTTTTGTCCAGGAAGTTGTCTAAAAGGGATTGAATTTGTTATTGCCTAATTGTTTTTTGGTAGGTTTCGACACTACCTTCCTTCCATCTATAGCATTTCTTAATATTATTCAGTTTCTTTGGCTTTGATGCTTCATGATTGAGTATTGCTCTGTTCAAGTAGGCTGTGAACGCTCTGAGAGACTCTGGGTTGAGGTCAGTGATAAAGTAGTCTACAGTACTACTGCCAAGGGATGAGCTGTAGGTGTACCTACCATAGGAGTCCCCTCAAAGCCTACCATTGACTATGTACAGACTCAGCGTGCGACAGAGCTACAGGAGTTGTGACCATTTTTGATGGTTGTTTTGTCATAGTTGTGTCTAGGGGGGCATATTTGGGAGGGAATGCTGTCACCTTCAGGTAGGTGTTTGTTCCCCTGTGTGCTAAGTATGGGGATTATATTGGGGGGATACAGGTAGCACACATGAGGACATTGTTCTCTGTGGAGATAATTTCCTTATTAATTTCTAGCCAGATGTAAAATGTTCCTGTTTTGACAAATTTAATAGAGTAGGTTAGGTCTGCTCTATTCCAAATTAGCATACCCCCTGAGTCCCTTCCCTGTTTTACACCTGGTAGTTTGGTGGATGGGACTACCACCTCTCTGTAACCTAGACGGCAACCAGTGGGTCCGTTTCCTCTGTACCATGTTTCTTTTAGGATGAAAATGTCTGTATTTCCAATTTATTTGATGAAGTCTGGGTTCCTGCTCTTTAGGCCAAAGGCAGATTACCCTTTTTCTCTCTCTTCTCCCCTCTCCCTCCCTCCAGAGATGGGAAGATCAGCCGAGAGGAGATGATTGACTACTTCATGAAGGCCAGCTCTCTGCTCAACTGTAAGATGGGCTTCATCCACACCTTCACAGAGAACACCTACGTCAAGCCCACCTTCTGTGAACACTGCGCTGGCTTTGTGAGTATCTTATCCACTGGTCAGTTTGACCATCCATCCTCCCTCTAAAGTACAATGCAGACCCTTACAGACCAATTACCACAATGTCTTAAAATAGATTATTTGAATCGCAAAAGAGACCCGTGGTCAAAAAAAATGCTACGACTTTTGTGTAGGTTCCTATTCCCGTACCATTCCCTACTGTCTTCAATGCATTTTTAAATGCATGGATTGATTAAATTGATTGGTGAAAGGGCCCTTTGGACAGAATGGCATTGATGACCAGTGGCCACGTCCTGTCACTCTGAGTACGCTGACATGTTTTGTTAAAGTTCCAGACAAATACATAAATTACAACATTTGCACGGTAACCACATTATTATTCTGTATTAATATTGGGTCTGATCTAGAGGCCATGCCAGTTATTTTGAGATATAGTACTGGGATAGTGAGGTAGTGAGGTTTCTCATGTGAGGAGAAAGAGGAGAGTGGTGTCTGAGTGCTTCAGAGGAACTCACACAAGGCCAGTGAGTCAGCAGGGGCTGTAATGAGAGCCAGAGTGATGGCTTTATACTGAGGTGACTGGGTGACCGCTCCTGAAACCACTAACAGGTGCACAGACAGAGATAGATGAGGTGCAGCACATCGACAAACACACACACACACACACACAGCGACTGACTCATACACTCTTTCTCTCTAAAAGAAAACTAACACACACCCTCACACACCCTCACACACCCTCACACTTACCCCACCCCCACCCCACCCCCACCCTCCACACACACTGATGATTCACACAAGGGGCGCTAAGTGGAATTTCCATGCCCTTCTGAGAAAATGTTTATAAAACATGAAACCGAGGGAGGAAGAAAAGATGAGCTCTGTAACATTGTGTGGCAGAGCGACACGGCCATCAGCTACTTCCTGTCTGCCTGCTTTCCTGTTGGCTTTTGGCTTCTGGCTTCGGGTCAAACATAATATTTCAGCTTCCCATTTTTCTGCACTGAAAAAACAAGCCACCCCACCACCATTATGGAATTCAGTGGCTAGGACATATCTTCATAATCCAACATTGTTTTAATGTATCTCTTCTGACAACCCTTGCTGTAGTCTTATCACATACTTACTGCAGCTTCCTATGAATGGGTCTCGGTACTCACTGTGTAGTTCAACGCTGGGAGATAGATAGATGATGCAATCCCAACTGGCACCATATTCCCTATATTTGACCAGGACCAGTGCGTTAAATAGGGAACAGGGTGCCATTTGGTATGTAGCCAGGGAGGGAGAGAGTGTTGTAATGCTGTAGGGTCTAAGGCAGGGCTGCCCAAACCTCTTCCTGGAGATCTACTGTCCTGTAGGTTTTCAGTCCAACCCTCTTTCCTGGAGATCTACTGTCCTGTAGGTTTTCAGTCCAACCCTCTTTCTGGAGATCTACTGTCCTGTAGGTTTTCAGTCCAACCCTCTTTCTGGAGATCTACTGTCCTGTAGGTTTTCAGTCCAACCCTCTTTCTGGAGATCTACTGTCCTGTAGGTTTTCAGTCCAACCCTCTTTCTGGAGATCTACTGTCCTGTAAGTTTTCAGTCCAACCCTCTTTCTGGAAATCTACTGTCCTGTAGGTTTTCAGTCCAACCCTCTTCCTGGAGATCTACTGTCCTGTAGGTTTTCAGTCCAACCCTCTTCCTGGAGATCTACTGTCCTGTAGGTTTTCAGTCCAACCCTCTTCCTGGAGATCTACTGTCCTGTAGGTTTTCAGTCCAACCCTCTTCCTGGAGATCTACTGTCCTGTAGGTTTTCAGTCCAAACCTCTTCCTGGAGATCTACTGTCCTGTAGGTTTTCAGTCCAACCCTCTTCCTGGAGATCTACTGTCCTGTAGGTTTTCAGTCCAACCCTCCTTCCTGGAGATCTACTGTCCTGTAGGTTTTCAGTCCAACCCTAATTTAGCATATCTGATTCAGCTAGTTAAGGTCTTGTTGAGTAGCTAATAAGTAGAATCAGGTGTGTTAAATTAGTAGATCTCCAGGAAGAGGGTTGGGCAGCCCTGGTCTAAGGCTATAGACTAAACAAGGGGCCAGCTGTAAGGATTGGTGTTTAGTTCTCTATAAATCCATGTCTGTGGATATGTGACGTAGCCCTTGTTCTTGGTGTCTGACTGGTGGGAGGTTTTTATGTACTGTTGGTCTAGTTTAGGAAAGAAAATGTATACTCTTTGAAGCCATGTTTGGTCAGTGTTTTGGTGGCATTGAGGCTCGTTTGTGTCCGTTTGTCCCTGCTGTGTGTGAGTTCGTCCGTGTGTGTTTATGTGTCCTGTGTGTGTGTGTGTTGTGTTTGTGTGTGGGGTCAGGGTATTTTCTCTGTCCTCAGATCTCTGGTTTGGCTGTGATCTCCTGGACCGGTCTTTCATGTCATTGTTCCCCTGCGGTGGGCTCCTATCATCTGCTTGATCTCACTCTCCCACCACCTCCTCCTCATCCCTGTCTCTCCTCCACACCTCTCTCTCTTTCTACCTCGCTTTCTCTTTCTATCTCACTCTTCCTATCAGTAGCTAGGTTTCCATCCAATTGGCGACAGATTTTCATGCGAATATTCAAAAAATCTAAGAATATTCAAAAAACTCTGCATAATTATTTTTCTTCACACCAGAGAAGTGTTTCCATCAAATTGACTTGTTGCGGATAAAAGGCTGAGTGTGATGACGTAGTGCACATAAAATAACTTTTGTGGTTAAATTCCCATGTATCGAATAAAAGAATATACAGGTTAAATGAGTTTCCATCACATTTTCAACTCTACTGACGGTTTTGTCACAAAACATTTTGCGTTTTATAGCGAATGTGCCCACTCTGGTCATGGCACGTGCGCTCTAGCCAACAGCTGGCAGATACAGTGCGGGTATAGCCTACATGATGAGATTATTATGGACAAAAAAAGCCGTTGTCTTTACGGCAGCCAATCGATGATCGTGTCACCAAAATAAGACCCTTGATATTTATTGGAAAGGAGCATCAAGCTCATCACCTTGCACTTTCACCGTCCTGTGAAGTTCATCATAACTTATTTAATCTGTAGCCTGATAAACTGCATGCTTTCCTCAATCGTAGTGGGAGGACCACACAATATCATCACGTGACTCGAAGTTTACTTTGATGTGATTATTATTATATAAATATTTTTGTGCATAAAGGTGTTTCCAACATAATACATTTTACTGACACAAAAACATCTCGCCTTGTGTAGCGTATTTTGTTTTGTCGACATTTGGAAAGTTTACCGACAATTTAGCTGTTGCCAACAGACCTGTCGTGACCTTTTTCATCCGACATGTACTTCACTCGCAGAAAAAGGTTGGATGGAAACCTGGCTACTCTCTCTCTCTCTCTCTCTCTCTCTCTCTCTCTCTCTACCTCTCTACCTCTCTACCTCTCTACCTCTCTACCTCTCTACCTCTCTACCTCTCTCTCTCTCTCTCTCTCTCTCTCTCTCTCTCTCACTTGTTCCTCTGTGAGAGACAGTCTATTTTTCCAGCTGTCACTCTTTGTTTCTCCCTCTCTTTCTATCTCGCTCTCTCTCCCCACAGCCACCTGCTCCTCCTCCACATTTTTGCATTTTCTCTCTCTCGCTCTCTGCGCCTCTTTCTTCTCTCTCTCTCTCTTTCTTCTCTCTCTAATCCTTGTTACTCTGCCTTCATCTGTCACTACCCCCACCCTCATGAGAAATAAGTGACAAAGTACTTCTCTCTCTCTACTCCCCCCCCACCCCCCCCCACCCTCTAGATATGGGGCTTCTACAAACAGGGATACAAGTGTAAAGGTAAGAGAATCAATACATTTATCTAACTTGAATAGTTCAAATAGCCCCAACATGTCTATGAAATAAAATAAATTATGAATTCTGCCACACGTGGCGTCATTGAATATTAATTCTGCCACACGTGGCGTCATTGAATTACCAATTCCCTTTGTCATCATCGATTGCAAACAATGGTCACTCGAACCAAAGGTGGCTTTGAGCTTAATGTCAACAGCATGGAAACCATGGCAAATATATCAGAGTACATTACATTATCCGCTTACAGGGCTCACTATGTCAGCACTTGAACAGAGCACGAAGGATCATAATAAAAAGTGTTGACATTGGGTATCCAGTATGAGGATAATGCAATGTAGTCTGACCATGTGTTGACATTGGGTATCCAGTATGAGGATAATGCAATGTAGTCTGACCATGTGTTGACATTGGGTATCCAGTATGAGGATAATGCAATGTAGTCTGACCATGTGTTGACATTGGGTATCCAGTATGAGGATAATGCAATGTAGTCTGACCATGTGTTGACATTGGGTATCCAGTATGAGGATAATGCAATGTAGTCTGACCATGTGTTGACATTGGGTATCCAGTATGAGGATAATGCAATGTAGTCTGACCATGTGTTGACATTGGGTATCCAGTATAAGGATAATGCAATGTAGTCTGACCATGTGTTGACATTGGGTATCCAGTATGAGGATAATGCAATGTAGTCTGACCATGTGTTGACATTGGGTATCCAGTATGAGGATAATGCAATGTAGTCTGACCATGTGTTGACATTGGGTATCCTGTATGAGGATAATGCAATGTAGTCTGACCATGTGTTGACATTGGGTATCCAGTATGAGGATAATGCAATGTAGTCTGACCATGTGTTGACATTGGGTATCCTGTATGAAGATAATGCAATGTAGTCTGACCATGTGTTGACATTGGCTATCCAGTTTGAGGATAATGCAATGTAGTCTGACCATGTGATGACATTAGGTATCCTGTATGAGGATAATGCAATGTAGTCTGACCATGTGAACCTGAACAGAAAACACTCCTAGCCCTAACAATTCCCTTCATTTCCCTGAAAATATCTACAGACAGATCTTCATGACAAATTATTAACTGTCTCCCTCATCCGCTCAAAGTCACACGGCAGACTTCCACTAGCTCCAACCCACATTAGCATACACCTGAACTCTGTCTGTACTACACTCAATAGACTGTGTCTGTGTCTCAGGCTGCATCCCAAATGGCACCTTATTCCCTATGTAGTGCACTACTTTTGGCCAGAGCGCTATGGGCCCTGGTCGAAAGTAGTGCTCTTCGTAGGGAATAAGGTATTTGGTATTTTATTAGGGTCCCCATTAGCTGTTGCAAAAGCAGCAGCTGCTCTTCCTGGGGTCCACACAAAACATGAAACATGACATAATACAGAATGTTAATAGACAAGGACAGCTCAAGGACAGAATTACATACATTTAAAAAAAAAAGGTACACGTAGCCTACATATCAATAGGGTGCCATTTGGGATGCAGTTTCAGTCTGAATCTGGGTGTGAGTGTACTAGGCTGCTCTACTCTGCTGAGGGCCTTAATGAGATGTGTGGGAGTCAATGAGAAGTCCCAGCCATTCATTTCCATTGTTAGCCGCAGTCACCGAGTGGGAGAGAATATGGCGGCGGATAATTGAAATGAATTGGCGCTGATCAGAAGTGACTAATGTCTGACTGTGTGTGTGTGTGTGTGACAGAGAGAGAGTGAGTGTGTGGAGTCTCAATCAGTCTGGATGGTAAATGGGAGAGAAAACATTTGTTGAAACTAACTTTCGCTGATGTTTTACTGAGAGCGAAATGTGTTTCGAGTGAGTGTGTGAATGAGTGAGTATAAGTGTGTGTGTCTAGGTATGTGTTTCATTACTCTGAATTTCTCTCACTGCCACCCTGGATGTCCCCACTCCCCCTTTCTATCTGCTCCTAGAGTGTCCTTTGTTGTCAGAACTGTTGTCAGGGTCTGTCTGCATGGCGGTGTGTGTGTGTGTGTGTCAGTGTGTGTGTGTGTATCTGCATGTTGTGTAAGAGCACCTACCTCTCACCACTCACTCTTCCCTTAACCCCAGTGGTTCTATTTGCACCCCTCCTTCCCTCTATCAACCTTTCCCTCTCTCTCCTCCCCATCCCCTATCTCTCTACCCTCCTCGACCTTGCACACTTCCTCTCCAACTCTCTCGACCCCTTACTCCCCATCTCATCCGCCATTCTTCCCTCGTTCCCTATCATCTTTTCCTCCTCTCTCTCCCTCTCTCTTACCCTCCTACTCCCCCTCCTTGGAATTCTTCTCACCCTCTCTTTCATCCTCTCTCCCTCCCTCTCTTTCCCCTTCACTCCCTCCGTCTCTCCCTCCCTCGGACAGCGTGTGGAATTAATTGTCACAAGGCATGTCGAGGTCGTCTTGCTGTGGAGTGTCGTAAACGGACCAAGAGCATCAGCCATGAGCATGCCCCCTCCCTTCAGGCCCGCTCCTACAGCTTCCCCCCTCCGGCCAACACCCCACCCAGCCTACAGAACACAGGTGAGATCTGGTTTCACTAATACTATGGCATATCTGACCACGATTCTTCAGATTTGGTGTCACTCAAAAACAGGTCTCCCATAATGCACCTGGCACAAATGCCTAGTAAATCAGGTCCAAAATCTCATTTGAAAACAGGTCCACCATTAGCATGTAGTTCAAATGAATGATTGGGTCGTTGTTAGTTTTGTTCGATGATCCCTTTCATTCATTCTATCATGCTCCCTATTCAAAGCGTCTGTGATTCCATTGCTGTGTGTTCTGTCTCTCCACAAATAGTTCTGACACGCAGACAAAGACATTTGGGGCATTCTTACCAGCCTGTGATTTGCAATGGAAATGTGACAAAAATCACAGCAACGTGACGAGCGGATGAATCATACATCCAGGCACAATTAAGCCGCTGGGAATGGATGGTTCCCTCTGTATAGCGCTGTGTTATAGAATGATGTTTTAGAGTTGTATGCCGTTCAACAATGCCCTTGTCTAATGGGTAGAGTATACAATGATGTTCATGGATGGAAGAGACAGTAGACAGTAGTAACCATGGTCACTGACCTCTTCTGCCCTCTTCTCTCTTTGCTCTCGCATACTCTGGTCTCTCCTTCTCCCTATCTCTCCCCTATGTCTCCTCTCTCTCTCCCTGCTCTCGCTCTCTCCCTGGTCTCTCTCTCTGCTCTTCTCTTTCTCCTCTCTCCTATCTCCTCTCTCTTTCTTTCTCTTCCTTCTTCTTTTTCTCTATCTCCCCC